GATCATGATTAAGAGCGTGAGAGATTGCCCCTCTTAAAGGATTCCATGCTTGGGAGTTCGATGCCCTCTTCTGCCCTTGCCTTGTTAATTTATCATTCTTGGTCATCCCATGCCCTCTGCCCTCGCCCCCCCGCCCTCACCACCCCTGCCGTCGCCCCACTTGCCCTCGGCCTGCCTATGCCACTGCTTCCCTTGGCCTCCCTGACCTTGCCTTGCGTTTCTTACCCACAGGTGGCGGACCCAGTGGTGTCCTTCTGTGAAACCGTTGTCGAAACTTCTTCTCTTAAGTGCTTTGCTGAGACGCCCAACAAGAAGAACAAGATCACCATGGTATGCCATGTGTGTACGTACCCATGCGTTTATGTTGACACATGTATGGGAGCTTGGTAGCATAGCAGCACATGCACCATGCTTACACACATTTATGTGCTTCGCTGGTGGGGACTCCAAACAGGAGTAACGCGATCACCATGGCATGCTATGCTATCCTATGTTATCAGAAAGCCACCCTGCTGATGATTCTACATATCTGCTCTCCTCTGCCCTCGTCTCTCGGTCGCGGAGCCATGGAGAAGGGGTTAGCAGAGAACTGGGAGAGCGGGGCGGTGTCTCTAGACTGGCCCAAGAAGTGCATGGCGGAGTTTCTCCCATCGCTCACCCCCCTGCTCCTATTTGTTCTCCCTCTGCCTCTCACACTCATTTCAGATTGCAGAACCCATGGAGAAGGGGCTAGCAGAGGACCTTGAGAGCGACACTGTGTCCGTGGATTGGCCCAAGAAGCGCATGGCGGATCGTTCCTTTATTTCCCCCTGTTATCGTCTCATGTACCTCGTTCCCCTGCTTTCCTCAGATCGCAGAGCCCATGGAGAAAGGCCTGGCAGAGGATCTTGAGAGCGGGGCAGTGTCACTGGACTGGCCCAAGAAGCGCATGGCGGAGTTCTTTCAGACCAAGTACGACTGGGACCTGCTGGCCGCCCGCTCCATCTGGGCCTTTGGCCCCGACCGACAGGTGGGTGAAGGGTGTGAGCAGGTGGACAAACCTGCTTCCAACCCATCTATACATTCAAAAACCGCTTTTGATTCAATGATCCGGCAATTATGACTCCTGCACACCTTCTTACCTCCTCTTCCCTCCTGTTTCTCTTCCCTGTTCTCTCGCTATCTCTGTGTGCCCCTCCCTTGCCCCCACGCACAGGGTCCCAACATCCTGGTGCATGACACGCTTCCCAGTGAGGTGGACAAGAACCTGCTGGCAACCGTCAAGGAGTTGGTTCTAACTCTTCCCTCCGTTTCTATCCTCCCTTCCTCTTGCTACCGCGGTCTGTCCCTCCGAACCCCCCGTATTCCTCACCCCTTCCCCTTCAGGGGCCCAACATTCTGGTGAACGATACTCTTCCCAGTGAAGTGGATAAGAACCTATTGGCTGCCGTCAAGGAGTCCGTCATCCAAGGGTAAGCCACAACCCTTCCTCTTTTCCTCCTTGCATTCTGAAAAGGACTGAAAAAAACATGTGTTGATTATTGAGGCGCCTTAATCATGCCGCCTGTGAAAAGTGCTGGCTTCGTTTTCCCCTCCTGTCCGTCTCTCCCCGTCCATCCCTTCCTGTCCCTCTCACCATGTCCATCCTTTTCCGTCTTCCCTGCAGCTTCCAGTGGGGAGCGAGGGAGGGCCCTCTGTGTGATGAGCCCATGAGGAATGTGCGATTCAGGCTGTTAGACGCTCTCGTGGCATCGGACCCGCTGCAGCGGGGGGGCGGTCAGGTCATCCCCACGTCTCGCCGTGTTGCATATTCTGCGTTTCTCATGGCCTCACCTCGCCTCATGGAACCCGTTTACTTTGTGGAGGTGAGTGCTCTTGTTCTTTCAGTGTGGAGATTTTAGCTTGAAGGTTGATAAGGCAGAAAGGGGGGCTGGCTGGCAGGTCATCCCCATGTCTTGTCGTGTGGCCTAATGCGCTTTTTTGGAATTCTAAAAGAACGCATTCAGCCTACTCTGCTTTCCTCATGGCTTCGCCTCTCCTCATGGAACCTGTTCACTTCGTGGAGGTAAGTGCTCTTGCTCTAAGGGGCTAACCATGCTGTGGGGGGTCGGGCAGATCATCCCTCGTCCTTCCTTGCGGCATATTCTGCTTTGCGCATGGCGTGGCGTCTCCTGGCCGGCCTCATGGAACCCTTTTACTGCATTGACGTGAGTTGGGGGTTCTTCGGGGGTAACATTCAGCGAGGAGGTGGGCAGGTCATCCTTACGTCCTGCCGTCTGGTGGGATGGTCTCCCGCCCCACCCACCCCCCACGCCCGGCATGCGCTTATGCCGTTGATGTACAACCCTCTCACGATCCCTCTCCTTAAAAAACTCTGTTTTGCTTTTGAGAATTCTCAAATGTGACTACAACCACCTCGAAGTCTCAGTCTCCCATCCTTGCAGATCCAGAACATGCTGACAGCATGTGGGCCATCTACATGGTGCAATCTGCTTGCCTCTCCCACCTACTTATTCATAGGTCTCTTAATCCCTCAGAAAGTATAGATTCGACCCAGATCCAGCAGACTAAGCTCGTCCTAATATTCGCTATTCCGTAGGTGCCTAGGCTAGGTAGGGATCAAGTAAACGAGGGCGCTCTCGCTACTCCCATCTACCTTGCCTAACACTCAACCAAGATCTGAAATCCAGATCCGGTGCTGTCGCACACTTGGATATTCCCACCTAGTCATCGTCACCCCTCCCCACCTTTCTCCATTGCCTTCTCTGCCCTTCAGATTCAGGCCCCTGCAGACTGCATGTCAGCCAACGACACAGTGCTGTGCTGTCAAGCGCTTCCGTTTCATCTCCCCCATTGCCACCTACTTATCGCTTTTCGTCATCTCCCCCATTTTCACTCTACAAACTCCCCTATTTACCCCTCCTTCAGATCCAGACCCCTGCGGACTGCATGTCTGCCATCTACACGGTGCTGTCGCGCCGTCGAGGTCACGTGACGGGCGATGCTGCCAAGGCCGGCACTCCCGCCTACATTGTCAAGGTGCTCGAATTGTGTGTGCATGCGATGTTGTGGGCCGTTTGAACTAGCCTCCCTTGGTATTTGTGCCGTCGAAGTCACGTGACGGGTGATACAGCCAAGGCTGGCACCCCTGCCAACATCGTCAAGGTGCGGTGATGATGCGCGCATGTGATGTCATGCTCTGTTGTAACTAGTATCTTTTGAGAATTCTCAAAAGTCACTCCAATATATGATGCGCGCATGTGATGTCATGCACTGTTGTAACTAGTATCTTTTGAGAATTCTCAAAAGTCACTCCAATATATGATGCGCGCATGTGATGTCATGCACTGTTGTAACTAGTATCTTTTGAGAATTCTCAAAAGTCACTCCAATATATGATGCGCGCATGTGATGTCATGCACTGTTGTAACTAGTATTTCGTGGTATTTATGTTGTCTAGGCCATGTGACCGTCGATGCTGCCAAGTCCGGCACACCCGCCTACATTGTCAAGGTCCTGTACTGTTCTCTGGTTCGTGTTTCTAAGGTGTGCAGATGGTGCACGCACGTGATGGCATGTCCGCAAAGTGAAATGCTGTGCTGTGCTTCCACCCTCTCTCCTCCCCCAGGCCATCCTGCCAGTGAGAGTCCTTCGGATTCATGACCGATCTGCGCTATCACGCGCAGGGGCAGGCCTTCTGTGTGTCTGTGTTTGACCACTGGGCTGTGGTGCCAGCCATTCTCTAGTCAACAGCATACAGTCTGAAACGAGTCAACCAAATTCAATCTCCCTCCACCCGGCCTCCCTGTTTCCTCTGCTGCGCTCCCCCCTCCCCCAGGCCATTCTCCCAGTGATCGAGTCCTTTGGCTTTGAGACGGATCTGCGCTATCACACGCAGGGGCAGGCCTTCTGTGTGTCGGTGTTTGACCACTGGGCCGTGGTGCCGGGGGACCCTCTCAACAAGAGCACACTGTTTCAATTGAGCCGACTTATATTCAATTTTCCCCTTCACCTGCCCTCCCTTCTTCCTGTGCTTTGTCTCCCCCAGGCCATTCTCCCAGTGATAGAGTCCTTTGGCTTTGAGACAGACCTACGCTATCACACGCAGGGGCAGGCCTTCTGTGTGTCGGTGTTTGACCACTGGGCTGTGGTGCCGGGGGACCCTCTTGACAAGAGCGTCGTGCTGCACCCGCTAGAGCCGGCTCCTGCTCAGCACCTCGCGAGAGAGTTCATGGTCAAAACTAGGCGGAGAAAGGTGAGGAGAGAGTGAGGGAAGTTGGTGCAAGAGGTGTGTATGAGAGGTCTGTGTTAGAAATCAACTACTGGACAAGGGCATGCCTGTTGGCCGAAGGGGCTCTTGGTGCAGAGTGACCCCGCCAATCCGGCCATCGTGTTCTAAATCCTTTTCTGGTAACCTGTTTACTGGTTGCTTCTCTATGTCTGTTGTTTCAGGGCATGAGCGAGGATGTGAGCATCAACAAGTTCTTTGACGATCCTATGCTTCTGGAGCTGGCTCGGCAAGACGCCGAGTTGCAACAAATCCTTTGAGCTGGCTTGGCAAGACGCTGACCTGGCTGGGCTGTTTTTCTAGTTCCCTATCGATGGGTATGCATGAGGATGTGCGCATCCTGTAACCACCAACCCTCCCTCCACCACTTCTCGACAGGGTCCCTCCTCCCGCGCTCCCTGTCTGTGTTCATGTTGCGCACTTGCATACTGCCTTGGCGAGGTTTAGAATTGTAACTACCGGTATACCTCAACATGAGAACGTCAGCAGCAGTATCAACCAGCATGGCCGGCCATCAAGAGTGGCCATGGAAACATGTTTCAGTGCACATCCACGTGAACAGCAACAAATTTACAAGCCTATGACTGAAGCACACCTTACAGGCCATAGTTCAACTCCACTCCACATACGAGTGGCCGTGCCAATGTGATTCACTACCATGCCACCTACTGGTTTAGAAGCGACCCATGCGTGCGTGTGACATGCCCCACCCAACCCACAGCCACACTCCTCTCTACTCCACACGAGTGGCCATGGCAATGTAATTCACTGCCATGTCATCTCTTGAGAGATTCCACCTGTTGCTGATTGGGTCGTACACCATGCCACGTGTCTCCGCCAGCTGGCGGGTCGGGAGAGCAAGGCAGGGGAGGGGAGAAGGGAACACCCACGCAGGATTAAGTCAGAGCTTTTAAGAGATGGTTAGCGCTGCAAACACCCTGCAATTTTTATGAGTTCCCAAAACACTCTGCAGGAAGGGATGGGCTGTTTGGAGTGGAGATAGAGTAAACAGGGTCCTCCCCAAACCTGGCTCGCCACAGCAACAGCGTTAGACATGGTTACATGCACGGGAAAGGTACGCTGATCCTGGGCTTTCCTTTGCAAGCGCCATTTGGCGTCATGGCTGCACCCCTTTAGAAGCAGATGCATCTCACCTGGAAGTTGGCTCGTCACAGCATAAGGGTGAGCTCCAACGGGGTGATTGTCACTGCTAAGCCTTGAACTATGAAATGAACATGATGAGAATTACCTACTCCCACATGCACTCCTTAAAGTAGTTGCAGCTCACCTGGAAGTTGGTTCGTCGCAGCATGAGGGCAAGCTCCAAAGGGGTGATGAACTTGTTCCAATCATGAGTCCCCCGGGGTACCTGCCACAAGTGAGGGTGATTGCAATCAGGGTGATACTTTGTGAAGCCTTAGTCGTTTCCCAAGCTCTATTGAGGTGCCTCAAAAATATTTTGGTAAGTGCTAGGCAGCTCCAAGTTTTGTCAAACGGGCAAAACCGGTGGCCATGCAACAAATTCATGCCAAAAAAAAAAAAAAAAAAAAACACCAAGAACAACAACGATGACGACGACGACAACAACAACAATGAAAAATAGAAGCTTGGCGACGTGACGAAGTCAGTCCAATTGTTAGGTAAGGACGCTAGTACAGAGGCACACTCTATTGGACGGGGAAAAGAGAGGCATGCAGTAGACAGAATTTATATAGAGCAAGAAAGAATCTATACACACAAAAAAGGAATGTACGTACACGAAAGAAAATGTACATACTATAGAGAGGATGTACTCGGCAGCTGCGATGGCGAGAGCAAAGGAGCGAGCGGTGCGATTGATGGTGGAGAGGAAGAGCACGCCTCCGGGGTTGGGAGTTGAAGGTGGGGATGTTGGTGCAGGTGGAGGTGTTGGTGTGGGTGGGGGTGTTGATGTGGGTGGGGGTGTTGATGTGGGTGGGGGTGTTGATGTGTCTGGAGAGGAAGTGGATGGCGGCATGGGCATGGATGGGGATGGGGCCGTTTGTGCTGTGGAAGTTTGGGAAGGAGATGAATAAGATGGGGTGAGGGGGGAGGAAGGAGCGGAGGGTGGTGGAGTGGGTCGGCAGAGAGATGTGAGGGTGCGGACGAAAGCAGCAGGATCCGCCACATGCTCAATCACCTGGGCAGAGAGGAGCGAGGGAAGCACAAAAGAGGCGAAATGAAGGTGAACATTTCCTGCACAGAAGCTGAGAGCAGAAAGCAGGGTGAGCAGAGAGCAGCGAACAGCAGAGAGCAGCAGGAATGAGGGGAAAGGCGAGCAAGGAGTAACCAGCTGCAAGATCAAGAAGTTAATCTTCGCCTTACTTCAGCTCATCTCACCTACCTCACCTCACGTCACCCCACCTCACGTCACCCCACCCCGCCTCACCTTGCCTCACCTCACCTGACTGTACCGCACCTCACCTCACCTCCAATGAGAGCACGGCATCAAACATAGTCCCCTGTGCAGCAAGTTCTTCTGCACTTGATAGAGAGACGCGGAGGGAGAAGAGAGAGGCGCGGAGAGGGCAGGGAGAAGATACAAGAGAGTGGAAACGGAGAGTGTTGAGAAGAGGAGAGGGGCCAAATTGTGAGCAGATCCCAAGCAAGGGGAGAATTGGCAGTCATTCAAATGAAAGTGGATACCTGCAGAGATGCACTTGTAAGATATGGATCGGGTGATAGGATCCCTTGCCTGCACACACGTACGTACACACGCGCGAAGCATGCATTGAAAGACACTCCAAACCCAGTGACATGCTATTGTATAGTCACAATTGCAGACGTACGTGGCGGCTGGGTGGTTCTACAAATTCTGGAAAAACAACTGGACGAAAACAAACACAGCAGAAGAACGCCTTACGGAAAGTGACGCTGCTGATAAAGAGCATCAAACGGTGGATCAAGAGAGCCTAAGACAAAACACCTCCTTTCAGAGGCTTGCTCTGCGGCACTAGGGACATGCATCAAAAGAGACGTACAGCGTGAGTAGCAGCCACTCGTGTGTTGATACGTGTCACATCAACACCTGTCACTGTAGCTCCCAAGCGAGCCAGCGGCTGCAGAAAACGACACAAGGGGGGAAGACCCCGGACCGGAGGGAGTTGGTTGGGATGTGTTTTGGAAGGTGAGCAGAATGGTGAAAGCGAAAGAAACAAAAGAAACGAAAGAAACTACAGCTAAGTAAAAAGCACCAGAAACAAAAGAAATGAAATGAAGAGTAAGGTCAATGAACAACGTTCACTGAGACGCTTGCCTGGTAGCACACCAATCGTACTCACCTCACACAGAAGCCCCCCCCCACACCCCACGTCAAGAACTTTCAGCCCTTCCAGTGGCCTGGCAGAGTCTGCATTCAGACTGATGGATAGATAGAGAGGGAAGGCGGGAATGATTGAGGTCAGGATTGGGATGAAACGCAATCAAATGGCAATTGGAAGCATGTCATCGTATGGGATCATATGGAATGGCATGGCACGGCATGGCATGGCATGGCACGGCATGGCATGGCATGGCATGGCATGGCACGGCATGGCACGGCATGGCATGGCATGGCATGGCACGGCATGGCACGGCATGGCATGGCATGGCACGGCATGGCACGGCATGGGATGGCATGGCATGGCCTGGTGGGAAAGGGGAGGCGAGAAAAAGGCAATGGGCTAGATGCTGCAATGAAAGTGGCTGAAGCCAGGTCTTCGGACATGAAAGCATGGTCACACTCGTGAACCTCCACTCTCTCTCATTGACTCCTTCCACTCATAAGCCGTCCCCCACAAACTCCTCTCACTCATAAGCTCTCTCTCTCTCTCTCCCTGCCTCTCGCCTTACCCCCTCTTTCGCTCACCCAAAGTGCCGACACATGGCATCACGCACGAACGCCACGCGGGCAGCTGACATGGCATGCAGTGGCGCATGTGGGCCCCTGCGGTCCCACCTGGATGGGGAGGGATGGGGGAGGGATGGGGAGGGATGGGGAGGGATGGGGATGGATGGGAAGGGATGGGGAGGGATGGGGAAGGTTGGGGAAGGATTGGGGGGGATGGGGAGAGCGGCAAGCCATTGTGAAAGCTGTGTGGTTCCCTCATGAAAGAAAGTGGAGTTGCGAGAATTTAGCAGCTTTTTAGGCCATGTGGACCAATTTCGAAACTTCTTTTCGCCAGAGCTCACCATTGGCTGGCGAGAGCTTCGAACTTAGCCACCTCTTCGCCATCAACGCTTGCGGACGTCACTCTCCCACCTGACGCCTCAAACGCGCGTCCTGCGGTTGAATTACCCGCAACAGCGGGGGAATCATCGGCGGGAGAGGCGGAAGCGGAGGCAGGGGATGCGCAAGCAGTGGCCGTCGAGAATCCCCCCCATGCGATCGCCGGCGCGGCAAGGCGGAAGCATGCAGTACGCAATACCGCGGAATTGCGGGATGCGCGCGCTAGAACTGACATCGCGATCGCTTTGAGAGCGTCTTGAACGGATTTGATCGAATCCTATCAAAAAGCCTGAAGACAGAGCACGCTTCGAGCAGCATCGGACACGTGTCAGTTGTCAGTTATGGTGCGTGCATAGCAGTGCACCCCTCACGGAAAGTCAGCACGCCCGTGCGTTCCTAGGGGCCTAAATGCCAACAGAACCAGCTTGTTGAACCGAAAATGCCAGACTATCATGCCCGAATGAACACCTATCCGTTCGTCCAACTTTGATCGGCAACAAGTTGAGCAGGGTCCTGGGAGACCTACGCAGATTTTTTGTTTGCCCACTTTGTTACGAGTGCAATTGAGTGAACGATCGAAGATTGCACTATCTAAGCAAGAGTACAATGAGCGAAGGCATGAGCGAATAATATATAGCAAAAATACAGTGGTAACGGTAATGCGTGAAAATGGGGTGCCCGACGGGCCTGGCGCCGAGGTTGGGAAATGACGAGGCGGAGGTCCGGAGCGCGAGTTACCAACCGAACCGTATGGTTGGGTCGCGTCGTGAACAGTGGCGGGAACAGTGTCGAGGCTAATGTCGCGAGTCGTAACGGATTACTGTTGGGTGCTGTTGGTGGGAACAGTGGTGTACGCGCTGAGCACGGACGCGAATTAAGGAAAAGGATTTTTCCTTACACGCTTTGAAAGTTTCGCCAACTACTCAATTACCTCCGCAACCACCTCGTGCAGGTTGTTATGAGTTGTGAAAGGAAAAGTGCGCAGGATTCAATTGTCAAACACTATGTGTTATTGTTGTGTAGGCTATAGTGGGTTAGCCTTTAGGGGGTACACAAAGCTAGGGTTTCCTACGTGTACTCCAACTTTCATAGTGCAATCACTTCTTCTTCGTAACATGGTTTCAGAGCAGGTCCTCCGCTAGGACCGATTCTTAGGGCCCACCACTACTGCTGCCTACTAGCGCCCTCGTGCGCCCTACTGTCGGAGCGCCCTCGAGCGCCTCCCCCCTTAGCGCCCTCGTGCGCCTCGTTTTCACGGCCCCCCAAGGCCCCGCGATCCGCGACCCGCCCCCCCTTAGCGACTCGCGCGCCGCCCCTTAGAGGCCCCGTCGACCCCGTGCGCCGCCCCTTAGAGGCCCCGCTCGCCCCGCTTAGAGGCCCCGTCGGCCCCCTATACCCCGCGCGCGCCCACCCCTTAGCGGCCCCGTCGGCCCTGTCGACCCCACGCGCCGCCCCTTAGCGGCCCCGCTGGCCCCGTCGACCCCACGCGCCGCCCCTTAGCGGTCCCGCTGGCCCCGTCGACCCCGCGCGCGACCCCCTTAGAGGCCCCATCAGCCCCGTTTGCCCCGCGCGCGCCCACCCCTTAGCGGCCCCGTCGGCCCCCCCCTCGACCCACGCGCCGCCCCTTAGCACCCCGCCGCGACACCCACGGCCCCACCAGAACGAGCCGCCCGAACCGAGCAGCCCGAACCGAGCCCCCCAGCCCGAACCGAGCCGCCCGAACCGAGCCGCCCAGCCCAAACCGAGCCGCGCCGCCCGAACCGAGCCGCGCCGCCAGTGCTGGACCGAGCCGCCCTACCTGAGTCGCACTGCCTACTGTTTTGAGGGTGCACCTACTGCTGCTACTACTACTCTACTGCTACTCCTACTACTACTATGGCTAGTCCTCCTGTGCTAGCTTTCGATGCTGAGGGCCGCCCAGTGAAGTTCGAAACCTGGCTAGATGACCTACACCTCTTCCTACAGCTCACTGCCAAGGAGGACATCTCACTGTACGATCACGCCCTAGGCCATGCGACTGCTCCTGCTGATACTGCTGACAGCACTGCCCGCTCACAGTGGCAGACTCGTGACGCCCACGCTCGCTTCGCTATTCGCAACTCCCTGCCGATAGACGAGCGCGAGCACTTTGGCCAGCACAAGACTGCACAGGCACTGTACACCGCTGTCGTTGCCCGCTACTCCTCATCTGCCTCTGCCGCGCTAGGCCGTCTCTCACTCCCCTACCTGTTTCCCGACCTGGCCTCGTTCCACACAATCGCTGACCTCATCACGCACCTCCGTACTAGTGAGGCCCGCTTCCGTGCCGCCATGCCCGATGAGTTTCTTGCCAAGAACCCTCCCCCGCTTTGGCTCACTCTCTACCACCTAGTCACCCGCCTCCCTGACACTCTGCGCGCTGTCAGGGATCACTTCCTAGCTCGCTGCACCACTGAGCTCACCATTGCCCTCCTCGAGAAGGAACTGCTTGCAGCTGAGGCTAGCATAGTCGCTGTAGGTGCCTCTTGTGGCGACCCCCGCACCCCTTTCTTTGAGGAGTGTTCCCCTTCCCCCCTTCTTCCCTCTGTAGCCTCTGCTTCTGCTATCGACCTCCTTGGTTCTAAGAAGGTCGGGGCTGCATCTGCTTTGAGCGGGCGCCGCAGCGGCAAGGGCAAAGGGAGCAAGGGAGGCGGAGGTGACGGCGGGGGAGGCGGTGGTGGGGGTGGTGGCGGCGGTGGGGGTGGTGGTGGGACTGGTGGGGCTAGTGGCAGCAGTGGGGGTGGTGGCGGCAGCGGCGGGGGAGGTGGCAGGGGCGGGGGCGGTGGTGGGGGCGGCGGTGGACACGGCGACGGCAGGGGAGGAGGTGGTCAAGGAGGTGGCGGCGGCGGTGGTGGTCGTGGAGGCACTGGCGGTGGCCAGAGCCTGCAGCACTCTCCGTCGCCCCAGGAGCTCCGTGAGTGGTACGCTTAGCACAGGGGGGGGGGGGGGGGTGGCCTTAGCTTCACGTACGTCATCCGCACTGGTGACCGCGCTGGTCAGACGTGTGGGAGGGCGCACCCCACGCAGCGCTGCTTCTCACGCCTCGACGACGCTTGGCGTACTCAGTTCCCTGACGCCACTGAGCTGCCCCGCTGGGCTGATCTGATGAAGCAAAACATTGATATCTTTGCTCTAGACTTTGATGCTATTCTCTCTGCCATGCATGTGATGTCTATTAGTGGAGAGGGTGCCCAGTACCTGCGTGTTCCGCCCGACCCGGGCATTCGAACCGGTGAGGCTGCCGCTCTAGGTGCTAGAGTGTCTGCTACCCCAGGTGCTGGTGAGGCTGCTGCTCTAGGTGCTGGTGCGTCTGCGCCCCCTGGTACTGAGTCGACTGAGGCACAGCACACCTTTACACTAGACTCAGGTGCCTCCCGCTGTTTCTTTCGTGACCGCACGGCTCTTGAGCAGCTTGCTCGGCCCGTTGCAGTCTCTCTCGCTGACCCCTCTGGGGGTCCAGTCCTTGCGACCTCCTCCACTGTCCTCCCCTGTCTGGCCGTCCCGTCAGGCACACTGTCCGGTCTCTACCTCCCCTCGCTCCAGGACAGGGGTGTCCACCAGTTCACACCTGCCTACGAGCGCGTGACACACTACACGTGTGGTCGGACGGGCCGTCACCTGGCGACCTTCACACGGCAGCCGGGGTCGGACCTGTACACACTGACTACTCAGTCCCCTCAGGTAGCTGCGTCTGCGTCTGCGTCAGGTCAGCTGTCGGCCCCCTGCTCTTGCCGCTCTCTGGCGCACGAGACCGTCCTCTGGCACCACCAACTTGGTCACCCGTCCGTGCAGCGCCTTCGGGCAATGCACAAACGGTACCTTGTCTCTGGTCTTCCCAGAGTTCTACCTCCCCTCCCACCCTCGCCAGCTCCTCCCTGTCTTCCCTGTGTCGAGGGGCGGCAGCGCGCTGCTCCTCACTCCTCCTCGTTTCCCCCGACGACTGCTCCCTTGCAGACGCTCCACATGGACGTGTGGGGCCCCGCCCGCGTCCGTGGTCAGGGTCAGGAGAGGTACTTCCTGATAGTTGTTGACGACTACTCGCGCTACACCACGGTCTTCCCCTTGCGCACCAAGGGTGAGGTCCCTGATGTTTTGATCCTTTGGATCCGCGCTTCTCGTCTTCAACTCAACGAGCGTTTCCACTCGGACTTTCCTGTCCTGCGCTTGCACTCTGACAGAGGTGGTGAGTTCTCTTCCGACCTCTTGGCAGCCTACTGTGCGGAGCACGGCATCCGCCAGTCGTTCACGCTTCCGGCCTCTCCACAGCAAAATGGGGTTGTTGAGCGCCGCATTGGCTTGGTCATGGAGGTCGATCGTACCTCCTTGATCCATGCGACTGCCCCCCACTTTCTGTGGCCGTTTGCGGTCCGATACGCTGTGCATCAGCTCAACCTCTGGCCCCGTGTCTCCTTGCCGGAGACCTCTCCGACACTGCGTTGGACGGGAGAGGTTGGCGATGCGTCGCGTTTTTGGGTCTGGGGATCCCGAGCTTTTGTTCGCGATACGTCCGCGGACAAGCTCTCCTCCCGCGCTGTTCCGTGTGTCTTCGTAGGCTTTGTTCCGGACACGTCTGGCTGGCAGTTTTACCACCCCACCTCGCGCCGTGTCCTCGCCTCTCAGGACGTCACCTTTGACGAGTCGGTACCCTTCTACCGCCTCTTCCCCTACCGAACTGCCCCGCTCCCTCCCCCGCCTCTTCCCCGCTTGTGGTCCGGAAGGCAAGGTCGGCGGACCGAGCCTGGTTTTCCGAAAATCGGGGTTGTAGGCGTACAATGTGACCCAGTAAGGAATCCGAGAAAATTCCTCACACTCCCCCCCCCCCCCCTTAAGAAAGGTGGTGGATATCTGAGACACCTCGGCAGGCCAGGTAAGCATCCACAACCGGATGTCCCTGTAGCGAGGCAGCTGCGACATACGTGTCGTCCTCGCTTGTGCGGTTTCCAGAGAAGCAGGAATTTGACCAAGCGGCCGGCGGCAGTCAGCTCCACGTGATGGTTCAGATTCTTCCAAGGCTCGAGCGTGGGTTCCGCCACGGGGCGTGTGGTCGGCGCGATGGTTGGCCGAGCGATAGCTGGCGACTGCGGCTGTTCATAGTGCCGCAGTAGGCTGACGTGGAACGCGTCATGTATCTTCCAGTCGTCAGGCAGGAACAGCTTCGCAGTGACAGGTGTCACCATCTGGACGATTCGAAATGGTCCCACGTATCTGGGTCGTAATTTTTCCGGCTGCGGCAGTCGGAGATTTTTGGTGTCCAGATGGACAACTTGTCATGTGCGAAAGGGCAAATCTCGTCGATGCTTGTCCGTCTGGCGGTTGGCCGTGGTATAAGCTTTACGAATAAAGTCAGCTGCCTTTTTGCGTGCTGTCTGTAGTTCCGTGACAAACTGCTGCGATCGTGGTACCGGGTTGTCCAGGGTCGTTGAAGAGGGTACCACGGGGTCTATCCCGTGATTCAAGTAGAAGGGCGATTGTTTAGTCGTGGCCGAAGGGGCATTGTTGTACGCGAATTCCAGCATCGACAGCAAGTCCTCCCACTTGCGAATGTCCGGGCAGTTTGTGCGAATCAGCTGCTCCATGGTTTGATTTGTCCGTTCTGTCGGTCCGTCGGTCTGTGGGTCGTATGACGACGAAAACTGCAGGCGGGTGCCGTACTGTGCCCATGTCTCCTGCCAGAACTTCGACGTAAATTTTGGACCCCGATCGCTGATGATCGCCGAAGGTAACCCGTGTAGGCGTACGACGGTGGAGATGAAGAGTTTTGCGGTATCTTCAGCTGTGATCGTCGTGCGGCAAGGTGCGAAATGCGCCATCTTCGCCAGGCGATCGACGACGGCCATAACCAAGTCGTTGCCACTTGCGCCAGCTGGAAGCCCTGTGACGAAATCCATCATCACCTGTTGCCATGGTCGTTCGGGTGGCTCGAGGGGCTGCATCAGTCCGGCTGGCCTTTGTACGACTTCATCGCTTGGCAGGTCGGGCAAGTTCTTACATAGCGCTGCACGTCGGTGAGCATATCCGGCCAGTAATAATTCCGCTGCAGCAGCTTCAGTGTTTTGTCGATGCCGAAACGCCCGGAGAGGTTGGAGTCGTGTACCTTCTGCGTCAGCAACTCCCGTAAAGGCTAGTAGGCGGGCACCCAAATCCGGTTCGTTCCGGTTTTTAGGTGATAATTGCCGTGGGGCGTAGTAGCCTGTTGGTGCCGGTTCTTGAAAAACCTGTCAATCTTGTAGACGTGGGTGAATAGTCCCGTCAGCATCGGGTTGGTATGGGCGATTAGTACCGCCGCTTTCTGCATGGATGGTCGGGTGAGGGCGTCAGCAATGATGTTGGCGCCTTTCTTATACGTGATGGTGTACCGAAAATTGGACTCGAAGAAGTCCAAACACCGGATTTGTCGCGGGTTGAGTGTTGGTTGCGTGCGCATGTACTGTAGCGATTTGTGGTCGGTTCGAATGGTCACGTCGGCTCCCATGAGGTAGCAGCGCCAGGTACGAAACGCGTGGACGATGGCCAGCATCTCTTTGTCGTGGACCGGGTAGTTGCGCTCGGGTGGTTGCATCTTGCGTGATTCGTAGGCGATGGGTTGCAGCCCATTGCCGAAGTCCTGTAGTAGGACTGCGCCGACGGCGAAATCGCTGGCGTCCGTGATGACTTCGAACGGTCGAGATGGGTCGGCGAGGCGGAGGACCGGGGGTGAACTCAAATGTTTTTGAGTGCGTCGAAGGCGGACTGCTCCCTCTCCCCCCACCGAAAATGAGTGTCCTTGTGCAGCAGGTCGGTCAGCGGTTTGGTTATTCCTGCCATATTAGGTACAAAACGTCGAACGTGGTTAACGAATCCCAAAAAACTCTGCAATTCGGGGATATTAGTTGGCGGCTTCCACTTAACGACGGCGTCCACCTTACGCGGGTCGATTTTGATGCCTTGGCCGGAAACGACGTCGTGAAAGTTAGAAGAGAGAAGAGGGCTGCACTAGCAAGAATGAGGATACAAATAGCAAACCCTAGAAGGGTTGTACTCGCTATAGAGCACCCCACTACAGGCTAGAGCATAAGATAACATTCTGACACACCCCCATAGCCAAAGTGGGGTGTAATCAGCAGAGCAAGCAAAGCAGTACAAGCTCAGGGTGGATCACAATGTCACCACACATTCTGAGCACAAGTTCAAGAAGCAATAGTTTAAAGTTCACAATTATGAGCAAAGCTAGTGGTAGTCACAACGCGCAAGTGAGGAGGAGGAGAGAGAGTGAGAGGAGAGGAGATAGGAGGCGACAGATGAAGCTGCAGACACACGGGCAACAGGAGGCACACTGGCACAGCGGCTACCGGAACAACGCTCCGGAATACTGGAGTAACTGGCCCCGCGGCTAAAGTAGCGGCAGACGAGCAACGGACCCACGGGCGACTGGCACAGCTGGCTACGACTGGGCTACCGGACGAAGTCCCCGGAATACAGGTGCTGCTGGCGACACGACGGCAACCTCCATTCAGCTTCCCCAAACTATCCCACTCCCCCTGGCACACACCCACTGCTACACCGCTAGCTCCACTCCCCCTTCACCCCCCCTTAGTACCACTCCACCGGCTCCAACACGTCCACCCCCCCTCAGCGGCAGCTGCAGCACAAGGAGACGGAGGAGGAGGAGGAGCAGGGAACGGTACAGAGTGAAGTCACCCCCATACCCCTCACCCCCAAACCCTAATTCAGGAGAATGGGGAGTAGGAGGGGTGGGGCGCCAGTAGAAGCACTGGGGGACAGCGGGGAGGGCAGGGGCAGCGAGGAACGGGCCCACCACGGGCCTGGTAGAGATGCCCGAGCCGCGCGCAGGCGGCCCGAGCCGCGCACGGGCCTGGCGCCGCCCGTACGGGTCGCGCGCGGGCCTGGCGCAGCCCGTACGGGCCGCGCACGGGCCTGGCGCAGTTCGTACGGGCCGCGCGCGGGCCTGGCACAGCCCGTACGGGCCGCGCGCTGCCTGTACGGGCCACGCGCAGGCCACGACGGGCGACGGGGGGCGACGCGCGGGTCCCCGTCGCCCGTCGCGGCGCCTCCAGAGGGCAACGCGGCGAACGACGGGGCAGAAGCCCACCGCGCGCCTCGGGGCGCACAGCGGGCAGAGAACCGCCGCGCGCCTCGGGGCGCACGGCGAGCAAAAAACCGCCGCGCGCCTCGGGGCGCACGGCGGGAAGGAAAACTGCCGCACGCCACGGGGCGCGCGGCTCAGAGAGTAGTGGTGGTAGTTGCAGCGGAAGCTAGGAGGTGGTAAGCCCACCCACAGGATCGATCCAAGGGGATCGACCTGCTCTGATAGCATGTGAAAGTTAGAAGGGAGAAGAGGGCTGCACTAGCAAGAATGAGGATACAAATAGCAAACCCTAGAAGGGTTGTACTCGCTATAGAGCACCCCACTACAGGCTAGAGCATAAGATAACATTATGACAGACGTGCCCCAAAAACTCCAACTCCCGCTTTAGGAACTCGCACTTAGACCCCTTCGTAATTAGCCGATGCTCCTGTAGACGCCGGAACACCTCCTCCAAATCCCGTAAATGTTCTTCTTTCGTCTTGCTGTACACCATGATGTCGTCGAGGTACACGATGATCTTTTTGTCCAGCATGTCCCGAAAAATCCCGTTCATCGTCAGCTGGAACGTCGAGGGCGCGTTTGTCAGTCCGAACGACATCACTGTATATACGTAACTGCCATAGCGTGTGCGAAAAGCTGTCTTCGGGCAGTCATCGGCGAGCACACGAATTTGGTGGTAGCCTTCTCGCAGGTCGATCTTCAAAAAGTAGCAAGCTCCGCGAAGTTGATCAAGCAGATCGTTAGTTCGCGGGATCGGGTAACGCGATTTTATCGTGACCCGATTCAGCGCCCGATAATCAATGCACATGCGTAGGCCCCCGTCCTTCTTCGGCGTGAACAGTATCGGCGCTGCAAATGGTGACGTGCTTGGCCGTATGAACCCCTTGGCTAGTAGGTAATCCAGCTGGCTCCGCAATTTGCCGAGCTCTGGTTGGCTGAGCCGCCACTGTGTCCGCACAATAGGTTGCGCGCCGGGTTCGAGCTGGATCCGATGGTCTTCTGGACGCTGAGGGGGCAGGCCATCCGGGAGGTCATCCGCGAAAATTTCGGGATACCTCCGAATAATGTTCGCCAACTCCTCAGGGACTGCCGCGCAGAGCGTGTCGATGTCTGCGAATTTTTCGGAAGCTGCCACCTCGTACAGGTGCACTGCGTAGGCTTGAGCTCCACCGTTGATCGCCCGCGCCATGTCCTTGCATGTCCTTGCACGACGCACCCCCCTGCTGTCCAGTTGATCTTCGGATTGAAACGCTGCAGCCAGTCTCGTCCCAGCAACACATCGCAGCCGTCCAAAGTTGTCGCCAACATCTTCATGCCGAACCTGAAATTGTCGCCACACGCAATCCGGTTTTTTCGCGCCTCATCTCGGATGGCCAGCAGTGTTCCATCCACCAACCTTGCATCGATTTCCGGCAGACATCTGTTCAGCTTCACCCCTATTTTTTTGGCCGTTGCTAGATTGACGAGGCTATGAATCGCTCCACCGTCAACGAATATTTTTATTTTTATAACCGTTAACCCTCCCCACCACCAGCACAGGGTAGTCCATGTGTTCACCCACGTTATTCGTCCGGTTCTGGTCGATAGCTCTGATCGGTACCACGACCCAGTGTGGATGGTGATTGTCAAACGACAGGGTCTCGTCAGTAGAGCGCCCGTCTGCTACTGACTCGTATCTTTTCCCGACCCTTCTCCGTCGTTCTTCTTCCCCTGCTTAAGCCTCGGGCAGTCTTTTTCAGGTGGCCCAGCTGGTTGCATATGAAGCATGTTGAAATGAATGAACAGGAATGATTGAACTAACAGTGAAATCAGTACAAGTACCTAACCCTAGAATTGTGTACCCCCTATAGGCTAACCCACTGTAGCCTAAACAAGCACAACATATATAATGTTTGACAAAGCACGGCCCGAGGGCTCGGCTTGGCGCGTCCACGCCGTTGATCGTGGGTTGCTGAGTCGGTCCGCGAAATCGAGGGCCCTCCCGGGAGCTCGATCTCGCCCACAGTATCAGTGCATCCGTTGATTCGGCTTCTCGGACAGCGTCGTTAATGTTGCGTGGCCGCGTTCGTCGAACCTCGTACTGTATCTCATATTCCAGGCCCGCCACGTAGCGATCCAATCGCTCCGCGTCGCTCATGTCGTCCACTTGGTCCGCCAAGTTGCAGAATGTGCTGGTATATTCTTGGACCGAAGTCAGCTGCTTCCTGGCACGCAGCTTCATGCGAGCAGAGTCCGAGGCGGATATGTGCTCGAATCTAGTTCGCAGGGCGGCGCCCCACTCCCTCCATGTGCGTATCGTAGCCGTCCCGAAAATTGAAGCTGCTCGTTGCGTGACAAGTGTCGAAGTCCCGTCGTTCGCACGTGCTAATCTTGCTGAAGTCCCTTCGTCTTGCAACGCGTCGCCACCTCTCCAGCGCAGGTCCTCTCAACAGTGAAACTGCGAAGTTAATGCGGGTGACATCATCATTAATCATAGCAGCATTAAAAAACACCTCCGCTGTGAACAACCATGCAGAAACAGTGACGATCTTGTCACTTGGGTTAAACGGGGACATGTTTGTCGGCTTGATTTTGACAGTTGCTGAAGCCATTAATGCCGCGTAAACTGTTGGCGCCGCTGCTGTCGTCGCCGGAGCTATCGCTGCTGCACGTGTCGGCGCTGCATGTGACTATTGCGGTGACTATTGCGGTGACTGTGCCTGCCTCGCATCATCCGCATCCATGGAGCCTTCTAACTCGCTCCAGACCCGCTCGTCTGGCGTGGAGCTGCTACTTGCGTCCTCAAAGATAGGCGACTCCTTGCGCGCTTCACCACGTCCCTTGTGTAGTTCGGCGTTTTCATTCCGCAGGCGCTCCATCTCTGCAGTCATGCCCTACAAGTTGGCCTGCATCGCACGGAACTTTTGCACGAACTTGTTAAACTCGGCCTGATCCATGGGCCTCAGGCTTCGTTGAACGGGCAGGGGTTGACTAGCGATTTTTCTGACTTTGGTGAAAGCGTCAACGCTATCGTAGTCGGAGTGAAATAATTGTATCTATTTCACAGGCCGACCGCTTTACAGCCCACCAAGTCTATCACTCCCCTTATACAAACTACCCCGGAAACACGAGGGTAACCTAGGAAAGTAGGCTCTAATACCAAGTGTTATGAGTTGTGAAAGGAAGAGTGCGCATAATTGAATAACGCGGAAGTGATTACAACGTCTGAGGGAACAACGAGGCCTAGAACTAATATAGCAATGCTAGCTAGGCCGTGGTCGCGGGGTCCAGGGTGGTTGGGTGCAGGTTCGGGGTTGGGAAACCCGAAGGCGACGCGGTGATGGTTCGGAAGGCGAGGTCGGCGGACTGAGCCTGGTTTTCCGAAAACTGGGGTTGTACGCGTACAGTGTGACCCAGTAAGGAATCCGAGAAAATTCCTTACCCAGGTTGACGCGAGCTAAAATTGCAACGGCAAGCACGTTCAAGTACTAGGATTGAGATCGGCGCGATGCGCAATTTTGGCTACGGGTTTTGCAATTGTTCCGTTCAAACATCGAAATCAAAACACGCTGTGCTGGTCTTATCCGAACCCACGTCACTATCGAGGCTTGGGGGCACCGTGCTGTGACAGGAGCAACTTGGGCGTGAGGAAGGCGTGTAGAGTGCGAGCATATTTGCCTATCCCACAGACTCATGCTGCTGTGGCCTGACATGGCGCACATCGTTTTATCTCGGCTTACCCTCGTCGCATGCTGGAATGCACGCGGCGCACCCGCGGGAGAGCTGGCGCCGGCGTGCACAGCTGATTGTAACCAGCCTTCTTGCACAGATTGTCCTCCTGCCATGCGCCTTCTTCTCCTCCCTCTTGGCGGACTGCTGCTCGCCTTTCGTCGCGAAGAGCCTCGTCTGTTTCTGTCGCGCACACGACATTCAAAATCGTTGGAAGGCAAGAGTTTTCAACTTGCACGGCACAAACAGCGAAAGCCAGCGATTAGGCGGCATTGTTGGTCACTGTCCCAAAGACCGAGGCCAGCGCTTGTTAGAAGTACGAAGCAGTCCTCCTCAACCCCTCTTTGCCGACCCCTATTTCTCGCACCGCCGCTCTCACCAGCGCTCACACCGCCGCTCTCACCGCCGTTCTCACCGCCGCCCTCACCGGCGCCATGGAGCACAGCAGCGGCGGCAGCACGGGTACTACTGGCCTTGAGGCGTGCGGCCTCGACCGTTGCGTGTTTCTGGCAGTGCACGGCAGGGAGGACGGCAGTCAGAGTAGCATTCAGGGCCGTGCCACACGTGTAGGGGAGCGATGGCGTGGCGCCGAATTGCAAGGGGCGGAGGAGGAGGCGGCGGGTGACGTAGAGGAGGAGGTGGGGCAGGGGCGTAGGAACACAGTGGAGGTGGTAGCTGCCCTGTCGCTCCTGTCCTCCTTGTGCTCCGGTGTGTCGGGTGGGTCGCTTCTTCCTCCTTGTGCGGCTGTGTCTGCTCTCGTATCGTTCCACTCATCCCTGCTTCCGTATCCACTCCAATAATGAAGGCTCGTCTTTTATCCATGCGTTCCCTTGCATCCATGCGTTCCCTTGCATCCATGCGTTCCCTTGCATCCATGCGTTCCCTTGCATCCATGCGTTCCCTTGCATCCATGCGTTCCCTTGCATCCATGCTTCTCTGCCCTCCCTTGACGTCACTTTCTTGTCGTCTCCGTATGCCCACCGCTGCCTCTCTCCCCGTCCTTCTCCCCTCCCCTCTCCCCATCCCACTCCGCACCCCTTTCCCCACCACTCGCTCTCCCCATCCCACTCCGCACCCCTTTCCCCACCACTCGCTCTCCCCATCCCACTCCGCACCCCTTTCCCCACCACTCGCTCTCCCCATCCCTCACCACGCCTTTCCCGACGTGGCAGGCATGGGCCGGGGATCCCCAGAGTGGCAGCAGCATCTGCAGCGAGTGCTGCCGCCTCACGCCCTGCAGGGCCTGCGCACAGCGCTGCTGCTCGTGCCCTCGCGCGCCCAGCGCCTCGCTGCAGACAAGGCGTGGACGAGGGCGCAGCGACAGCTGGCAGGGCAGCAGGCCGAGCAGCAGGCAGAGCAGCAGGGGATGCAGGAAGGGAGAGGTGGGGGAAAAAAGCAGCATCAGGGGCAAGCAGCGGCTGTGGTGGGCGTGCAGATTGCTGTGGCAGGCCGGCCCAGTCTTTCCGGTGGCTGTGCTGGCGCCGACCTGGTGTTGCTCTCCGCGGTCTGCGCCCCCCCTGCTGCGTCCGCCTCCACACGCGCCCTTCCAGCCGTCTGGCCTCCCTCCAGGTCGTTACTGGGCCTGCTAGTGTTGCTACTCATGTTGCCATGCTGCCTTTTCAGTGCAGAGCATTCCGTGGTTTGACTTATACACGGCCTGCGTGGCATGCATGGGATGCACCCGAAGCATCGTGGCTGGCCCATGTGCGTGCATGCTGCAGTATGCCTGTGCTGTTGCCCATTCTACCATCCTCTGCTCTGCTCTGCCGCTCTTGCCATGCCTCATTCATCCCTTTTCCCCATCACAGGATCCGCGCTGCTCTCTCAACCCCGGCACGTGTCCTCATCATCTTGGGCCACGAGGGCACCCTCTCATCCGATAGTGCCACGTGGCGCCGTGTCATTGGCCACACCAAGGCCCACAGCAGGTTCTTTGATGCAGAGCGACTGGGCGAGGCACTGAGGAGGGCGGTGAGGGCAAGGCGCGCGGCAGTGGACGAGATGGCGCAGATGCTGGGGGAGGCTACTGAATTCGCGTCTGGGGGGGCTGTGGGAAGCGTCTCTGGAGGATCCATGCAGTGGCATGATCTGCTGTGGACGGTATGACTGGCGTGTTTGATGTTATTTGGCTGTGAGGGCGTGAGGCCTGTGGGCGGGACGGTGGGTGGGGCACTGTTATTGATCCCTGTCTCACTCCCCCTTCCTTCTCATTCCACCACCGCCCCCCGTATTCCTGCATGCACCTTGCTCCGTCTTCCCTGCACAAACCAACATTCCCACGGGCTACATCCCCCTCGCCTCGCCTCCCTCTTCTTTCCCCCACCCCTTTTACTCCCCTTCAACCCCCTGCCTCTCTCCTTCCTTACCCCACCCCCTCTCTCTCTCCCCTCTTCCTTCCCCTTCCCAACGATTCCCGACAGGGTCTGTTTTCGCCATCATTTGGAGAGGCTCTGGAGCGGCATGAGTCTGCGGAGGTGCTGCTGCTGCTGTGCCGCATACTGCAGGGACGGCAGGGCAGGCGTGGGGAGAATGGCGGCAAGGCGCTGCATCGCTGGCTGGAGGGCGGGGGCAGGGGGGCGGGGCGAGGGCGGGAGGATGAGCTGTCACGGCAGCTTGGTGACATCGTGCATGTGGATGTGGTCGGCGACCTTTGTCTTATCTGGTCAACCGATGTGTGCCATGAAACGCTCAAGCAGGTAAGGCTGAGGTAAAAACGAGGCGACGTTGTTCGAACGTCCAAGCAGCTAAGGACTGGTTAACCGATGGTGTTCAAACGAGTCAGGCAAACACAAGGCGAGTATTACTTGCCTTGCTGTTTTCTCATGTCTACTGCCCAATGCCCATGCCCCCAATGCCCCCCCTGCATCTCGTGCTATAAGCAGGTGGTGAGGTTGTGGGCGCTCGTGCCGGAGAGCCAGTGCAGGCCATGGCTGCACCGCATATCCGCCCACCTCACCTGCTACTCGCCTGCCTACCTGCACTACTGCGCTCTGCACCAGTACACATGCTCCTCCTCACCTCGCCTGCGCGTGCCTGCTGCTGTGCAGCAACCCGGGATACACTGGTGGCGCCCTCCCTCAGGTATGGCTGGCTAGATGGCACCTTCCAATTCAGCGCCCTTTTCTCCTTCCACTCCCACCTGCCAGCTCACACCATGCGTCCGCTCTGCTCCCTCTCTTTCACCTCTCAGAGGCCCCCACCGAGGGGGCAGGGGACGCAGGGGACGCAGCGACACCACCAAAGTTCATAGCGCTGCAGCCCGCCATGGCACTCGCGCTGCTGGCGCAGGGATCAGGTGCGCTCAGCGGTGCGCTGAGCCATGTCCCCTTTGAGGTCAACGCGGAAGAGCGCGCTGCTGTCACCTGCCCCTCCAGCCTCGTCCTACATGGCCGCTCTGGTGGGTCCTGAGGGAGTCATAAGGGTTCGGCGGGGTCAAAATGGGTCCAGAGGGGTCAAAGGTTATTGAACGGGGTCAAAGGGGGTCCATGGTGGTCAGCGCGTGACTCTTGAGCTGCTTTACCTGCTTCTGAGTGGTCTTCCTTGCTTCTGCTGTGCTAGTCCCAAACTGAGTTACATGGATTCATTGTGTGATGTGAGGTAATGTGGTGTTATGAGGCTATTCCAGGTGTTTATAGTGTTCTTCTAATGCGGGCAGGGCTGTGTGGCGCTTGAGCTTCAGTGCGGAAGGCTCTTTACAAGACGTACAAACGAATATACCAGATTCGTACTCTCTGGAAGCTCCTTAACCACGCCAATATCAACTGTCAGCAAGCATGTGTAAACACCCTCACCTCAGTGCTCCCATCCCTTTTGAGGCGCCTCAAAAGTCAATATCAACTGTCAGCAAGCATGTGTAAACGCCCTCACCTCAGTGCTCCCATCCCTACTCTCAGCCCCTACATACCCCTCCCTCACTCTCTCTCCCCATCCCCACTCCCAGGCACGGACAAGACAACAGTCATATTCCACCGAGTTCTGCACCTGGACCGTCTCTTTGAGTCGACTCGATATCAACTCTCCCCATTCCCACTCCCTCCCAGGCACCGGCAAGACAACAGTCATACTCCACCGCGTGCTGCACCTGGACCGGCTCTTCCGCCTCTCTGCCCTCCCGCCCCACCTGCTCCTCGGACTGCCTTCTCCTGCCAACGCTTCAATCACCGCACAGGGTGACGGCGTGGGTGATGATGTGGGGGATGGGAGCGGGGGCGGGTTGCGGCAGGTGGTGTTGACTCGGAGCCTGCACCTGTGCGCGTCCATTCAGACTGAACTCGTGAAGGCTGCACGGTGAGAGTGGGGGCTGCTGCTGCTGCTTGTGCGTGCAGCCAAGAGGACACGATGGGTGTCATCAAGTTGATGCCTCTCTGGTGGTTGTCTGTTGCATGGCGCTCATGGGTGTTGCATTGCGTTGCATTGCATTGCACGCTGCATGAATGGGCCTTTTATTAGGTGTGGACGTGCCAAGGAGGCAGGCTGGAATGGAACTCCCTGCATGCAAGCCCAAGTGCCTTGTGTCTCCCTCCCCCATCCACCATGCTACCTTTTGAGTCGACTCAAAAGTAAACCCAAGTGCCTTGTGTCTCCCTCCCCCATCCCATCCACCATGCTACCACCACCACCACCAGGGCGATAGCAGCCCTCGATGCTTTCCAAGCCGGCTCGCCCCCGCCACTCCCCCAAGCGGGTCAACATGCGCACGGAGCACAGGCAGCTGTTGCAACAGCCGGTCAACGCGTGGGGAGCAGGAGCGGCACGGGCAGCAACAGTGGCAGCGGCAGCAGCAGCGGTGGCAGGCTGTTAATGCGGGAGGACCTGGAGAGCGCCCTTATGGGGGGGTTGCCGCTGTGCATCGCCGCCATTCCGCCCACCGCGTTCCCCCTCGCGCTCACCCTCTCCAAGCTGCTGCGCCTGCTCGACGCGTCCGTCTCGCGCCCCTTCCTGCACTCCACGCGGCGCCGGCGCCGGCAGGAGGAGGCGAGGCAGCGCCTGGTGCTGGCCATTGGCGTGAGTGGGCGGGGCGTGAGGCAGGCGTGGGAGGAGGGGCAGGTTGAGGGCGCGTGGAGTGGCCGTGTTGAGAAGGACCGGTGGGAGGCGAAGGGGGGCAGTGCGAAAGGGGGCAGTGCAAGGGGGGAATGGAGGCGAGAAGGGGAGGGCTTGGGAGGAGGCGAGTGCAGCAGGAGTGGAAGAGGGCGGGATGGCTGGGGAGGATGGCGGGAGCAGCGGGTGAAGGGTGGAAAGGGGAAAGAAGCAGAGGAGGAAGGAGAAGGAGAGGAAGGGGAGGGGGAGGAGGACGTGGAGGTGGATTATGAGCGGTTCAGGCGGCACTACTGGGCGCACCTGGACAAGCGAGCCACCAACAGAGCTGTGATGGATGCGGCATTCGTGTGGCGCGAGATCAGCTCTCACATCAAGGGCAGCCTGCAGGCGATGCAGTCGCTGCAGGGGCATGTGGGCGAGGAGGAGTACGTGGGGGGCATGGTGGGCAGCAACGAACGCACGAGTGGCATGAGAGGGGCGGACCGGCAGGCGGTGTATGATGTGTTCCGGGCGTATGAGAGGAGGAAGAGGCGGCAGGGCGAGTATGACTGCGCGGACCTAGTGGGGTATCTGCACCGCGAGGTGCGGCGCATGCGGGCGAGCAACGAGCCGTGGTGGGCTGTGGAGGATGGCGTTGCCGTGGGTGGTGCATCCAGCAGTGGCGCCAGTCGCGATGGTGCCAGTCGGCGCACCACTGTTGGATGCACCACCACTGGCAGTGTGCCGTCACAGCCGTCACATGCACCACAGCCCAGCGGGTGCGTAGGTGCTGTGTTTGACTGTGTGGCGGTAGACGAGGTGCAGGACCTCACACAGGCACAGCTCGCGCTGCTGCCGCTCCTTTGCTCCAACGTTGCTTCTGGCTTCGTGCTCGCGGGTGACACGGCTCAGTCCATCGCTCATGGGGTGGACTTCCGCTTTGAAGACCTTGCCCGGGTTGTCTATAGCGAGTTTCTGAATAAAGGGGATGAGTGTGGCAGGGTTGGGGGGGAAAGAGGGGATTCAATGGTGGGAAAGGGTGGCCAGCAAATCTGGGAGAGAGGCGAGGGGCGGAAAGAGAGGAGCAGAAAGGGTCAGAGTAAGATCAGCAATCCTAGCAGCAGCAGCCGCAGCAGCAGCAGCAGCAGCAATGCAGCGTCTCACCAGTTGGTGAAATCTCTCCCCACGTTTCAGCTGGTGCGCAACTACCGCACTCACAACGGAGTGCTGCGCCTCGCAAACAGCGTCGTGCAGCTTCTGAAAAGCTTCTTCCCGCTGTCCATAGACCGGCTGCATGAGGAGCTGAGTACGGTGGAGGGGTGCAAGCCGGTGCTGGCGGCAGTTTCCTCCTCGTGGAAACACCAGCTCGCTCAGGGCAGGCCTCTCAGCGCCACTCAGGTGGGCACCTTTCGCTCTCCCTTGTGCTGAACCGCACTCGCCTTCCAACAGGGCATACCTTCTAGGACCGGAAGTCCAAGCCCTCTAGGAAGCTATGCCCTCTAGGAGGGCTTTTCATGCACCCACCATACCATGCTTGAAATGCTAAGGTTCTTGTCGAGTTAAAAAAGTCACCTTGCGTGGAAGATCCTAAGGATCACCACACGACACATATCTCTTCGCGCCATGCAGGCCATCATAGTGCGCAGCGCGGAGGAGAAGCGTGCCATGGCTGGGCACTTTAAAGTGAAGCCGGTGGTCCTCACAGTCGAAGAGTGCAAGGGACTCGAGTTCGAGGTGTGTTCATGCCCCGCCTAACTTGTAACGCCGTGAATCGTACCAGGGGTCGCCTCATAGCAATGGCTGCAAGTTTCCTCGTTCTCACGATCCAATCCTGCCGAGCTCTCCACTTGCATGCTCACGATCTGCTGCCGTTTTGCTTTCGACTTTCATCCCCGTCCCTTCCGCCCTTCCTTGCGCTGTCCCTTGCTTGTCAGGACGTACTACTTTTCAACTTCTTCACCTCACCGCACTCCACGGCACCCTGGCATCTCGTGTACACCTACATGCGCAGCACTGGCCTCTCACCGCGCTTTGGCGCCAGCCTGCCTTGTCGCTGCAGCACCAAGGGCCATAGCAGCTGCAGTCTCTGCACTCTGGATGACCTCAGGTGGGCTTTGCTGCTGCCTTCGTGCCACGCATGCACTACAAAAAGAGTGACCCGGCTGTTGCTTGTCCTGTAAAGCATTCCTTCTGCGTCTGCTGTGCGTCTCTCTGTCTTCTCTAGGGTTGCAGCCGGGCAAGCCGATGGACTTCCTATGAACTTCACCTTCATCTTCACCTTCATCTTCACCTTCATCTGGGGTAGTGTAGGTCAGAAGATCTCGAAGCACTGGGCAGCAGAGTACAAGACTAGTCAGCCAGCTTGTGAACCCAAAGCATACGCACGTGTCTGCATTGTGAGTCGGCTCGACTCTACAATTGCCATGCATCTCTCTGCCTTCCATTACGTCCGCTGCCCTGTGCCCTGCAGGCACTGGTCGCTGTGCTCCGAGTTAAAGCAGCTGTACGTGGCAATAACGAGGGCCAAGCAGAGGCTGTGGGTGCTGGAGGAGAGGGGGGCAGGCGAGCGTACGCCCATGGGAGACCTGTGGGCGGCGATGGGCATTGTGGCAGTGAAGGAAGAAAGGGAGGTGTGCCCGGAGTATGTGAAGCGTGTGTCCAGTGAGAAAGACTGGAAGGCGCTTGGCTTTACTGTGAGTTGGTTGGGCAACAACAGCCTGTGCAGTGCTGGCGATGGTGGGAGGTTGTGGCTCTGCTCGTCTTGATGCTTCTCCCTGCTGCATCTCATATCTTAAACGCCACGTCATCTCTCAACCCTCTGGTCCCCCCCGCTCCTCTTGCTTCCGCGTGGTATCTATGCCAAATAAAGACTGCTGAGCAGCTGTCTTTTCTTGTTTTATTCAGTTACTATATTGTGCCTAGTTGGGAATCGACTACACAAAATGAAACCGAACATGACCAGCATTCAATATAAAAGTTGGATATTCTCTCAGCTTGAATTTGCCTTGCTGCGACCTCATATCCTCTGCGCTGCCCCTTCCACATGGTGCTCCCAACCCATGGTCCGCAGTTCTTTCAAAGAGGCGATTACGAGGCAGCTCGGGCGAGCTTTGAACGGGCTGGGGACACGGGCAACGCTCGCTTCGCTGAAGCCACCATGTTCTATGAGGCGGGCATAGGGTGCACAGCACAGCCATCTGCAGCCGCCATTGCTGTATCAACCTCCTCTGCATCATCAGCCTCGTCTGCGCTGCCCCCAGTGCTCCCGGACCTCTCTCTGCTGTCCTGCACCGATCTGCTCCTGGCTGCGGCTCGTTGTTTTGAGGGCATCAAGAGGGGCTTGGAGGCAGGCCGTGCGTATGCCAAGGCTGGGTGCAATGAGGAAGCAGGTAAGGGTTGTTTCACGTATGCATGGGGCGGTGAAGGTATGAGCGTTCATGTGCGACGATGAGCACACGGAGAAGGCTGCAGAGCATACATGAGCGCAGCGCAACGTTAGTGCATCTTGCAAGCACTCGCATGCGCCCCGCCGTTCGTCATCCACCATTCATTTCTTTCCTCGTCTGTCACGCATGTCATGCCTTTCACACGCTCGCCTTGCGCCCTGCTCTCCCGCCCTCCCTTAATCTTTTAAAGATTTCTCCCATCGCCCCACCCCCCCCGCCACCAGCACGTGCCTATCTCACGCTCTGCCAACCTCCTGACCACGCCAACGCTGCACGGTGCTTCGAGAAGCTAGGCAGGTTCGCCGAAGCATCTGATTGCTACAACGCCTTGGGCGACAGACCCAGTGCCCTCGCTGCGTGCCTACGTGGCAGCATCTTTGCCAAGGGCCTCTCACTGCTCGACAGCTGGCAGGCAGTGGCGTCTCACCAGGCCACGTCAGCACCGGCATCTCACGGGGCAAGTGAGTCCAGCTCAGCATCTGCGGGACCAAGGAGTGGAGATTTGTCTCACCTGAGGCATTGGTACGTAGAGGAATGTGCAAGGAGGCTGGGAGAGCGAGGCAGTTACGGCGAGATGATGGCGTATGTGCATCTGCTGCCGGGATTGCCCGCCAAGCGCGCGTTCCTGGAGGGCGAGAGGCACCTGAGGGAGCTGGCAGGTCTAGAGGAGCAGGAGGGCGAGGTGAGGCGGGTGCCGGGTATACTGCTGAGAGCGGGGATGCTGCTGGAGGCATGCACTCACTTGTGGAACAGGGGCTGGCCAGGGCGGGCCTTGGTGGCCTTTGTGCGGCACCTGCAGTGGCGGGTGAATGCGGCGGGACTAGGGGCGTGGCGGGTGGGAATGAGGAGGGAAGCAGGGGGCGGCAGCGAGGGGCAGGGGAGGGGCGTGGCGCTGAGCAGAGAGGAGGTGGCGATGGCTCGGCGGCTGCGGGTAATTGAAACGGAGAGTTTGGAGTTTGCAGACAGGATGGAGTGTGAGGGGAGTGATCTGGCGTGGGCCAAGGTGGAGATGAGCGTTCTATTGTTCGTGATTGAGCTTCACTCTGATGCTGCTGATGCTGCTGATGCTGCTGATGGTGCTGATAATGCTGATGATTCTGCTGCTGCTGCTTCTGTTGCTGCTGGTGGTGATGGTGGGATCAGTGGCAAAGCAGGTTGTCCAGATAGGCGTGTGTCAGAAGCTACAGACCAAGGGGCGGGGAGTGCTGCTATGTGTGCATCTTGTGTGGAGCTGGGCCGAGCAAAGAGTGCGGAAAGGGAGGCTCGCGTGTCGCAAGCGTGGATGCTGGTAAGCCGGGGTCAGATGCTTCCAGCAGGGCGCATGGAGATAGGCCCTCAGAGCGCTGCTGTAAACAGCAGAGCGATAGGCCCTCAGAGCGCTGCTGTAAACAGTGGAGAGAGCAGGTTCAGGGGCGTGGAGCGGCAGATGGTGGTGAATGAGTTGAGCAAGGCGGAGTTGATAGAGGTGGAGGAGCTTTGGGAGGGGGGTGACGTGCTGCGGAAGGGCTCGGAGCAGGTGTGGCGAGAGAGGCGGGCGGAGAGCAGCGGCATGGAGCAGAGGGACAGCAGGGGTGGTGAGCAGAAGGGGCGTGTGGAGTGGAAGGGGGCGGAGCAGCTGCGAGCAGAGCTGATGCTCGCTTACACCGGGCTGCAGGAGTCTCTGTGCTTGCTGCAGTGGGGGCAGCGCTGCCTGTTGCACTACCTGGAGGAGCATTTTTCAGCTGAGCCTCACAGCAATTGCCCCCGCCGCGAACCTGCTGCTCACACATCTCAGCCTGCTGCCAACGCAACAGCAGCGGCTACAGCGTCAACGGCTGCATTGACTTTTGAGTCGACTCAAAAGCCTGCTGCCAATGCAACAGCAGCGGCTACAGCGTCAACGGCTGCATTGGCCAGTCGTGCTGTCACAATATCAGCTGCAGCAGCAGCAGCTCTACAGGCGTGCAATCTCCCCGCGCCGTCCCTCTCTCTTCTCCACCACAAGGCGGCTCTCTGGTGGTGGCGATGGGCTCGCAGGCTGGCCTCCCTGCTACCCGCCCTGCACCATCTCCACAACCACTCCATGCTTAAATCAGACTCCCACCTGCCCCACCTGCACGCCCTTTTCTCCCTCCTCTCCACCACCACCTTCCACCGCCGCATCCTCTCCTCCTCTTCCCCCTCCTGCCAGATCGATGACATGGGGTTGGCGTGGGCGCGTGGGGAGAAGGCTGAGAGGCTGTCCTCCACAGGGCGGAGCGGGAAGATGGAGGGGAAGCAAGCTGTAAAGGCGGTGAAAGGGGTGTGGGAGAAGGAGTTTGAGAAGCGATTGGAGGACACGAGGCGAGTGGTGTTTGATGGGGTTCAGCTGTGCTCCTCTGCACTCATAAGCTGCTCTGACAAGGTTGGTACCTTGTTAGTGTTAGCCTCAATCTCACACCTTGTGGTTTGTACTTTCTATATCCTAGCGTAGTGTAGTTTGCACTTAGTGTTTGGTTGGATGTACACCCACATCCAAACCAAACCCAAATGTGATGTCCAAGCAATCTCCAACCCACCAATTGGAGATTGCCTTGGGTTTACCCCCAATCCCTAGAGATTGTCTTGGATTCCCTTCCCCATCCATTCCTTGCTCATCCTGGATGTACTTAAAGAGCTTCGAGCTCATTACTAATGTATAGATTCTTAGCTCAAGTTCCAACATACCCGTCTTGCTCTGTAGTCACTGCTCCAAGTTTTGAGTGTTCAGAAGGGCAGTCACGTATGGTGGATTATTGCCTGTATCTATAATCTAATGCCAATCTTTCTTTCACATAGAACTTTGGTTCATCCCTTTGTGCCGTATTGTACCTGCCCATAGTCCCCTTGTGTTCTTTCGGGGACGGTCTCAAACGGTCGTTTCCCAAACTCCTCCCATTCCTTTGCCGTCTGTGTTTGAACTGAATGTGGCTTTGGCAGGTCACTATGGCCACGTGCAAACATCACATGGCCACTGCTTCTGAACCACCGCTCTCTCTGCATCAGACACCCTTCCCATGCCCTTCTCTGCTCAGCCCCGTTCACACCCTCTTTTTCCTTTCTGAACCCTTCCTGTCGTTGCTCCCTGTCACCACACTTTCCTGCTCACGCTCTGCCTTCTTCCAGCCCTGTTCTCTCACTCCCACTCACAACCTCCTCACCTCCCTCCTCCTCCACCCCAGTCCTTCCTCCACGCACTCTCGCCTTCATGCCCGCCTCCACCTCACGCTCCTTCATCTCAAGGCTGCCCTCGCAGCCCTGCTGCTGCTGCCAGACAATCGGCTGGAGAAGCGCAAGTCGAGGGAGAAACAAGCTGCCAGTGCTGAGGAGGGGAGTGGCGGAGCTGGAGGGGTGGGGGGAAGTGGAAGCAGGGGCGGGTGTGGTGGAAGCTGTGGTGAGGGTGAAGGCAAAGCGGGCGTGGGATGCGAGAATGGAGTGGGTGTAGCCTGGACCGCGCATGGGGCAGCCGTGGGGAACACAGCAGGGCAACGTGTGGTTGGTGCAGTGCTGCATGGCGCATGTATGGAGGAGACTGCTGGGCTTTCAGAGAAAGAGGCGTGGGGCATCACACAGCTCCTGCTCGTGTCTACAGTCAACTCCTTTCCCGACCCTCGCAACCCTCCGTACTTCAAGCAACAGTTTGGCAGCTTGAAGGGAAATCCTCTCATGGCAACCTCTGTCAACGGCTTCTTTGAATCACTCAGCACGCGAGCACTGCTGTACCAGCAAGCGTCCAACATGTGGAACGTGCATGGAGATGCGGGACGGCAGGTTCCTGCCATCTGCCTTGCGTCATTGCTGCCTCCATCTCCTCCTCCATCTCCTCCTCTTGCTCTTCCCTGTCCTCCTCTTTCTGCTCCCTTCTATGCTGCCCCCCCAATCCTCCTCCCCGATCCTTTATCTGCGATCTTCAACCTCCTGGCACCTTTTGCTGTCCACCTCGCTCGGCTCCTCTCTCTGCTGCTCCCTGTCTTACGTGCTGGTGCAACGGAAAGGGAGGGTGAATTCATTGGGCGGGCTAGGCTGGAGCTGGTGCGTGCGGTAGAGGCAATGGGCATTGACATGGTTTGCCACTCACTCTCACATTATGAGAGCCACTGCTGCAATTGGGGAAAGGGCGGATGAGGATGGCCCGGTTATCAGTGGTGTGGCGTGCGCTTGAGAAGGCTGGTGGTAGTTATGGTTTGTTGCACCATGTTTCCCCGTATACACAACCCTAGGGTGCCTTTTAACCTTCGTATAGAAAACGAGTTGGGTGATAAAAGTGGGGAAGTACCGTACCAAGCACCTGGATGCCTTTATCTGATGCCTATGTAGGTTGAGTCTTGCTTGCTTGAGTTGAGGGTCCTCACCACTTCCAGTCCACAATCACATGGTACAAAGAAAAAGATCCATGTCATTCAGAAAATGCCCTCTGCTCAATCCTCCATTGCTAGTTGAGCCTTCTGCTCTTGCCTCACCACTATTGAACCCTCTCCGTTCCTGCCTCTCTACTTGAACCTTCCATTCTCGCCTCACCACTTGAACCCTCCGCACTCTCGTCTCTCGCCACTTGCACGCTCTGCTCCTGCCAGTTGCCCCTTCCCTGACGCGACTCGTTTTTATTAGAGGCACACGGTATTGGTACCTTCCTAGTGCGTAGTCAGACTAGTAATTGAGTGGAGTGGACCCTGCGGGAAAAACGAATCCTTGATGGGAAAATACAGAAAGTACACGCTTGGAACTGATTCCAACATGCATGATGGCATTGACGGTGGCGCCAATCACACTAGCTCTTTTGGAAAAACTGTATCAGATTTGGATCTCTGAGTACTTCTCCCCTATCGCACCCGCCTTGTGCTTCTGGTCCTTTATATGGGCAAGCGTCGCCCGGTAGAAGCTGTGCACGGTGGCATCCACGGTGGCGCCATCCACAGCGAGCTCGGAGGTGATGAGCTCGATGAGGCCATTTGGGAAACGATCAAATCTGGATTTCAGCATACTTCTCCCCTATCGCACCCGCCTTGTGCTTCTGGTCCTTAATATGCGCAAGCGTCGCCCGGTAAAAGCTGTGCACGGTGGCATCGACGGTGGCGCCATCGACAGCGAGCTCGGAGGTGATGAGCTCGATGAGGCCTTGCAGCACCACGGGGGTCACATGGGGGTTGCCCTTGTCAAAGAAGTACAGGTATCTGGGGAGGGAGAGGGAAGGGTGGGGGAAACGGGAATTGTTGACTGCTGTTAAGCACACGCCCACCCACACACACACTTGACTACTGTTAAGCAAACACAAGCACATGCCATAGTACTCACTTGTTCAGAATCTCCAGCAGCAGCACCACGTGCGAGCCATGTTGGTTCTCAAAAGTCAAACCAACGTGCGAGCCATGTTGGTTCTCAAAAGTCAAACCAACGTGCGAGCCATGTTGGTTCTCAAAAGTCAAACCAACGTGCGAGCCATGTTGGTTCTCAAAATTCAAACCAACGTGCGAGCCAGGCACTCTGGCAGCAGCAGAGAGCTGTTGGGCCGCTGCATTGGCAATCTTGAGCGCTCGCTTTAGACACAACACCACCCGCACACATTGTTTATCATACGCACACACACACACTAACACGATGAGACTCACTTGTTGAGAATCTCCACCAGCAGCACCACGTGCGAACCGGGCACTCTGGCAGCGGCTGAGAGCTGCTGAGCTGCTGCGTTGGCAATCTTGAGCGCTCTCTTGAGACACAGCACCACCCTGGTGCATGGGGAGCAGCGGGTAAGATATAAGTAAGATTGGGATGCGCGGATGAGAATGATAGATGGGAGTGAATGCAGTGAATCTTGAGAGCACTCTAGCAGCAGAAGAGAGCTGCTGAGCCGCCGCATTGGCAATCTTGAGCGCTCTCTTGAGACACAGCACCACCCTGGTGCATGGGGAGCAGCGGGTAAGATAGAAGGGAGATTGATAGAATGATAGATGGGAGTGAAGGCAATGGACGGGTGGAGTGGAGAGCTCTAGCAGAGGCAGAGAGCTGTTGAGCTGCTGCAATGGTTGGCTACCTTGAGAGCTCGCTTCAGATACAACACCACCCTGTGCAGGGGAAGCAGCTAAGATAGATGGAAATTGGAATGTGCAGTTGAAAGACTGGCAAAGGGAGCAACGAAAGTGGCAATGCCTCGGAAAACGAAAGTGGAGCGTACTGATATGAACACTGAAAGGGGGGAGGAATTTGGGATGCTGGGATACTGAGAAAAATAGCAGCTAGTTTGAACTTGGGAAGGAGGAAGGAGCAAAGTTTGCATCTCACCTCTCGCCGTCTCTAGGGCCGTTCTCCTCGTCGCTCCAGAAGAGGTGTGCACAGGTGCACACAGCGCGACACTGGTCCGCTTTTGAGTAGGCGCAAAATTTACCTAGGAACCAGTTTGCATCTCACCTTTCGCCATCTCTAGGGTCGTTCTCCTCATCGCTCCAGAAGAGGTGTGCACAGGTGCACACAGCGCGACACTGGTCCGCTTTTGAGTAGGCGCAAAATTTACCTAGGAACCAGTTTGCATCTCACCTTTCGCCATCTCTAGGGCCGTTCTCCTCATCGCTCCAGAAGAGGTGTGCACAGGTGCACACAGCGCGACACTGGTCCGCTTTTGAGTAGGCGCAAAATTTACCTAGGAACCAGTTTGCATCTCACCTTTCGCCATCTCTAGGGCCGTTCTCCTCATCGCTCCAGAAGAGGTGTGCACAGGTGCACACAGCGCGACACTGGTCCGCTTTTGAGTAGGCGCAAAATTTACCTAGGAACCAGTTTGCATCTCACCTTTCGCCATCTCTAGGGCCGTTCTCCTCATCGCTCCAGAAGAGGTGTGCACAGGTGCACACAGCGCGACACTGGTCCGCTTTTGAGTAGGCGCAAAATTTACCTAGGAACCAGTTTGCATCTCACCTTTCGCCATCTCTAGGGCCGTTCTCCTCATCGCTCCAGAAGAGGTGTGCACAGGTGCACACAGCACGACACTGATCCGCTTTCTTTAGTAGCTTGGCCGAGTACTGGGGATGGCAGGGAGGAAAGGAGGAACAGAGGAAATGAGGGGGGTTCTCAAAGTGGAGACAGGAAGAGCAGGTGGGCAATGAACCACAGAGCATGAAACATACCTGGTAACTATACCTGGTGGTAACCCTATGTTGCAGTCCCATGTGGCAACCATGTGTGGTAAACCTATGTGGTAACCCTATATAGGACGAACCTGCAGTGGCCTTGTGAGTGAGGGCGATTCACCTCTGTAAACACGTGAGTGGCAGTGCTGCAGCGTTCCTGTGATGCGGTGCAGAGCGGTGACCTGCACCCTACTTGGTAACCAGACCTGCTGAACATACCTGGTATCTCTACATGGTAACACTATGTGGTAACCGTACGTACTCCAGTGGCCTTGTGTGTGAGCGTGTCTCTGTTCTCCTCTGCAAACACGTGGCAGCGCTGCAGCGTTCCAATGATCAGGTGCAGAGCGGTGACCTGTGCCTTGGAATCCTGGTGGAGGAGAGGTGCGGAGAGAGGAGAGAGGAGAGAGGAGAGAGGAGAGAGGAGAGAGGCGAGAAGAGAAGAGCAGAGGGGTGAGAGAGTTGTTAGAAAGTGAAAGTTTGTATCAATCAAGGAAAGAAGGGCACACATAGGTGGAAGCGAAGGCTGGAAGGGAAGAAGGTGGTTTGGGCAAAGGTTGGGATATCCAACCGCCATTGGTTGAATGTGAGTAGGGAGAAGGACGCACATACATAACATGCAGCTGTCAGATTTGTGTGATAAGTTGAGATTTGAGTGCATGTTATGAGGAGGAGATATCGGTGAGTGGCATGTTTTGAGTCGACTCAAAACTCGCCTTATCACATGTGAGCACGGAGAAAGAAGGACGCACATGCATAACATGCAGCTGTCAGATTTCCGCCATTGCTTGAATGTGAGGAACTCAGATCTCCATTCATAGATGACAAAGGTGAGGGTGAAGAGGTCATAGGCGATAGGCTCCAGGCCACACGCACACAGTCGCACACAGGCGTGCACACATCATCCCATGCATGCATTCTTACATGTGCACAGCACAGGCTACTGACCGATATCTCCTCCTCATAAATGACAAAGGCGAGGGTGAAGAGGTCATATGCGATGGGCTCCAGACCACACGCACTGGCCACCTGCGCGCACTCGAGGGCGAGCTTGAGGGCCAATGGAGGCACGAACTCTGACAGGGTCTCCACCACCTGGCATGTGGGTGCGGGTGGGGTGTGGGGTGTGGGGTGTGGGGTGGGGTATGGAGTATGGGGTATGGGGTATGGGGTGTGGGGTATGGGGTATGGGGTGTGGGGTGTGGGGGAGGAGGGAAGAGAGCACTTATGGGGAAGCTCAAACAGAAGAGAGGCTGCTGTTGATAAGGATTTGAATCCTTTGGCATGGAAGCAGCAGCTGGGATTATTCTGTAGCAGATCGGAACTGTCGAGTGACGCAGATGGACAAAGGGACGCGAGAGAAACCAACCTTGTGCAGGACGAGGAAGAGCGTGAGCGGAGTGACAGGCCCCTCCCCTGCTGCAAATTCACACGGTCGACCCCAAGGGCCACATGGTAGCAGAGCAAGCGTGCGCAACAAGCAAGGACAACAGACCTTGTGCAGGAAGAGGAAGAGCGTGAGCGGCGTGACAGGCCCCTTCCCCCCTGCTGCACTATTACACAGTCGAACCAAGGGCCACGTGCTAGCAGAGCAAGCAAGCAAGCGCAACAAACGAGCGTGACAGACCTTGTGCAGGAAGAGGAAGAGCGTGAGAGGAGTGACAGGCCCCTCCCCTGCTGCAGCAGCCGCCATTGCTGCTTGACTCGCCGCTGCCCCCGCTGTTGCCAGTGCCTGATCCGCCCCTGTGATGCCCTGAGATAGCAGCTGGTGCACCAACTGTGGAGGGAAGGAAACAAGAGCGCAGGGAAAGAAGCAGCAGCATGAGAGGAGGTCAGAGGGGTGAGAGTGTCTGCTTCTGCTGCAGCAGCCGCCATTGCTGCTTGACTCGCCGCTGCCCCCGCTGTTGCCAGTGCTTGATCCGCGCCTGTGATGCCCTGAGCTAGTAGCTGGTGCACCAGCTGTGATGGTGGGCAGGGATTGGAGAAGATTGAGAGGACGATATCTCAACAAAAGGGTGATGAACAGTTCCCTGCCTGCCCCAGCTGCTGCCAGTGCTTGATCCGCCTCTGTGATGCCCTGAGGTAACAGCTGGTGCAGCAGCTGTGATGGAGGGAAAACAGGAGTGAAAGAAGGAACTGAGCTCTTGAGATGTCCCAAAAACACACCAAGGGATGTGATGGTCAAGCGATAGAGATGAGGTAGTCCACGCATGCAGCAAATGGAGGCTCTGAATTGTAGTACTAGCGCACTGAACGACACTGATTTATGATGAATCAGCCATCCACTGTTTGCTGTTAAGAGGAAAAAACATCAGAACTCAGTGCTGGAACAATGTAAGTAATTTCAACAGTCTGCCCGGTTATATGCAAAATGAGGTGTCTTGCAGAAAGCTAAGGATACACCGTTGACGAGTGTACTTGCAAACTATAACGAGCATACCTGTAGCGAGCAGAAGACAAGTGAGGGGATGGTGAAGCGTAGTCTGGATTGGCCTCCCTTGAAGAGATGCGTTCGGATGATGGCTAGGATCTGACACGTGTAGGCAAGTGGAGGGAACAGAGAGGGAGCGATGTGTAAGACACAGTAGGCCACGCAGGCTGCAACAGAGAGAGGGAAAGTTGCAGCCTTCACTGGCCTCCTTGAAGAGATGCGTTCGGATGATGGCGGGGTGTGCGGGCAAGCAGAGGAAGGCATGAAACAGAGAGAAGGTGCAGGCTGGACGGATGAGGAAGGCATGAAACAGAGAGAAGGTGCAGGCTGGACGGATGAGGAAGGCATGAAACAGAGAGAAGGTGCAGGCTGGACGGATGAGGAAGGCATGAAACAGAGAGAAGGTGCAGGCTGGACGGATGAGGAAGGCATGAAACAGCACTTCATGTGGACGAGGCGGGATGGGGGCTGAGACGGGAGGAACTACGTTACTTCTTCTAGACTCACCTGGAACTGTATTCTCGGGTCGGGATTGACCAGCAGGTCCTCAGCTTCACTTGGAAGCTAAATGACATTGCCTCACTAAGGTGCAGTTGTAACTCACCTGGAACTGTATTCTCGGGTCGGGATTGACGAGCAGGTGCACGAGACGCGCCACGAGATTCTGCTCCTCAGAAAAGTCGTCCATGTCAAGCTGGAGGAGGGGGGGGTAAGAGAAGGAATAAAAAAGGGGATGAGGAGGAGAATCAGAGGAGGAGAAACAGAGAGCCGAAAAAGAAGAAAGGAGGAGAGAAGGCGAACGGAGGTGGGCTCAGAGCACATGGAGCCATCACATTTTGCGTGTGATGAGTCGATTTTTGTTTTTGAGTCGACTTAAAAATCGACTCATCACACGTGGGTTCAGAGCACTTGGAGCCATCGCATTTTGCTCCTCTTAAGATTCGTTCATGTCGAGCTGGAAGGGCGAGGGGGAGTGGGGGGGAGAGCAAGTTTGAGAGAGAACAAATGGCAACGAGGTGTGAAATGGATTGGGAAAGGCACCAAGGCCGTGGGGTTGAGGAGGAGGAGGAGAAAGAACAAAGTACTGGATATGGCACATGAACAAAGAAGCTGCACATGCCCTCCCTCCCTTCGCCTTTTGAGATGACTCAAGAGGGGCCTCCGCCATGTCAAGAGTAAGTAAGCCATGCTCTCTCAACACTCCTCCTCTAGCACACGCCCTCCCTCCCAGCATCACATGCCCCACTCCTCACTTCCCAACACTGTGTGCCATTAATCGCGGGTCCTTACAGCAAGCTCACCTCGTCGACTGGAGGAACGCCGTCCATGTCTTGAGTGAGATGGCGCACGAGGCTGAGTAAGCACTCCACCTGAAAAGGGTCGGGTGGTGGGGGGGAGGGGCGGGAGGGGAGCAGAGGAGAGGAATGTGGTGAGATGGTGGACGAGGCTTGCAGAGAGCAACAAGAGCGAAGCGACCTCAATGCATGCACATGTAAATGACTTGAGACATTCAAATGGTGGCACACCACCCACTCACCTTCTCCGGGTCCCCAATTGTCGTCTCGTGTTTGACCATGTTCTGTATGATCACCACCGCCATGGCCTTATTGGTCCCGTGGTCCAGGTGCCCCATGACCCGCGCGTAGTCCCTCTGGAGTCTGGAATTCGTGCTGCAGAGGCACAACCCTGATCAGATCAGATCAGATCAGATCAGATCAGCCCTGAGCCCTCAACGCACCTTCTCAGGGTCTCCAATGGTTGTCTCGTGTTTGACCATATTTTGTATTAATAACCACCGCCATGGCTTTATTTGTTTCATGGTCCAGGTGCCCTATGACCCGCGCGTAATGCGGCAGGTGAGAAGCATATCAGCCCGTAACTCACCTTCTCTGGGTCTCCAATCGTGGTCTCATGCTTCACCATGTTCTGAATGATCACCACCGCCATTGCCTTATTCGTCTCATGGTCCAGGTGCCCCATGACCCGTGCGTAGTGTGGTAGCTGCAGCACCGTCAGCACGCCGCCCGGCCCAAACTTGTCCAGCGCTGCTGAGAGTAGCGCCACCAGCTGCTTTGTTGTCGGGCTGTCCTTGGTCTGCCTCCTCGCATCCAATATCCCCACACAAGCCGCCTGTTGGTTGGGATACAGACAGGGAAGTGGGTCGCAGGGGAGGGAGGCGGGAGAGGAGAGACAAAGGAAAGGAGGCGGGATAGAAAGGGGTTGTCTCGTGGCTTGTCTCGTGGTCAACATGAGCCATGAGCCATGACCAAAGCTGCCAAGCATGAGACAGCACCGTCAGCATGCGTTCACCAGCAGGATGCTGCCAAACAAACATCGGCAGGCAGAGTTAAAAGCACCAACGTTCACCAGCACTTGGTCTATGTAGTCGACGCGGCCGGGATGCACTCGCAGCATTCTCGGTTACTTGAAACACATTTACCACTTGGCTGAAGAGAGAACGCTGGTTGAATGCACACTGGTGCGGATGTGACGGCACACACTGGTGCGGATGTGACGGCACACACTGGTGCGGATGTGACGGCACACACTGGTGCGGATGTGACGGCACACACTGGTGCGGATGTGACGGCACACACTGCTGCGGATGTGACTGAAGGAGCGTCACCAGCACTTGGTCGATGTAGTCGAGTCTGTCGGGATGCACGCGCAGCACTCAAGCACTCTTAGTGCTGTCACGCACTCTTCATGTCAACTGAAGAGAAAACACTGCTGGGCGGTTCTTGAGACGCGTGAGCTCACCAGCACTTGGTCGATGTAGTCGAGGCGAGGCGATCGGGATGCACTCGCAGCACAAACTGCACTCTCGAGCACTTGCTGCTGTCACACACTTGGTAGAAAGGGCTTGAGTTGAGCTCACCAGCACTTGGTCGATGTAGTCGAGGCGGTCGGGATGCACGCGCAGCACAAACTGCAGGAGAGCCAGATGCAGGCTGACGACGCTCTTTAGAGGCATCTCCGCCTGCGCCTCCATCACCTGGTGGGGTTGGGGGAGGGCGTTCAAGGGAGGATGATGAGAGGGGTGAGGGGTGACACGCACGGCATGGAGCAGAGGCAGGTGGGAGGGAGCAGGAAAGGTGCAGGCGGACAACGCTCTTTAGAGGCATCTCCGCCTGCGCCTCCATCACCTTGTGGGGGAAAGGGTGGAAGGAGGTGAGGGTGAGTGGTAAAGGGTGTGAGTGAGAACAGACACATGGCATCCAGCAGAGCAAGGTGCAGACTGACCACACCCTTTAGCAGCATCTCCGTCTGCTCCTCAATCACCTGATGAGGGAGGAAGAGGATGGGGGCGCGGGTGGTGAAGGGTGCGAGTGAGAACAGACGCATGGCGTGCAGCAGAGAGAGATGCAGGCTGACAACGCCCTTGAGAGGCATCTCCGCCTGTGCCTCCATCACCTGACGGGGGGGGGGAATGTGTGGGTGAGCGGTGAAGGGTGTGAGTGAGAACACATGCATGGCGTGCAGCAGCAGATGCAGGCTGACAACGCCTTTGAGCAGCCTCTCCGCCTGTGCCTCCATCACCTGATTGGGTTGGGGGAGGGCGTTCAATCAAGGGAGGATGAGAGGGGTGACACACATGGCATGGAGCAGAGGCAGGTGGGAGGGAGCACGGCAAGATGCAGGCTGACAACGCCTTTCAGCAGCCTCTCCGCCTGTGCCTCCATCCCCTGACGGGGGGAGGAAGGACGGGGGAAGGGGGGGCGCCGGTGGGATGGGTGGGAGTGAAAACAGACACTTTGCGTGCAGCAGAGTCAATTGTTCACTGGCGACGCCCTTTAGAGGCATCTCGGTCCGTGCCTCATCACCTGATGGGGGAAGGGGTCGGTTGAGAGAGAAAAGGAAACGGGTGACTGACACACATGGCATGGAGCACTGCACTGTCACCAACTCTACCCCCCTCAAAAACCCACCATGCCCCTTATTTCTCCAAGCCTCGCCTTGCTGACAGCAGAGTTGAGCTTGGCAAAAGAATCCACCTCCAGGGAATGACACCTAATTTGTGGCCAAACTTCCAGTCACCTAACAATTATAACAGCATTAACCGCCCTCCACAGTCCACAACCTTACCCCCCATTCCCCCAGCTTTCCTCACCTTGCTGACAGCGGAGTTGAACTTGGCAAAAGCATCCACCTCCAGGAAATGCGGCAAGGCCTGGTGATTACGGGGCAGCAGGGGAAGGAGAAAAAACAGACGCCAGATGAGGAGGTTGAAAATGCACGGGAATGAATGAAGCACCTTAACTGAACACTGTGCGGACATCCTCTGCGGTCTGTATGCCCAGAGGATGTGCGCTCAGGACACGCCCTCAGAGGGGGCTGCACATGGGGGGAGTGGCCCCAGGGGCCTACGAGCTATGCCCACAAACGTGCGCCTACACACTCACAAAAGGTGGAAAGGCACGCCCACTTCACTGCAGCTCAGGACACATATCCAGGCGTTTTGAGTCGACTCAAAACCCGCATATGTGCCTAGGAGCGGACGCGCACGGGAAACGGCCCCAGGGGACTACGAGCTAGACCCACAAATGTGCGCTTATATACTCAGATATGGGTTCTATTCATGAAGGTTGAGGGGCAGTCCATGAGTTGAGACATGTTGGTGTGCACGTCAGCACTCGGCTGCACTGCAGCTCAGGGCACGCCCCTAGGGAAGAGAGGAGTTTGATCACACAGTGTAGGAGGACCACTGGGCAGGCCATCCACAGCGTAGGACCACTGGCCACTCACATCGCAGGGCTACCAGCACTCACATCCGGGTTCTTATCCATGAAGGTCGATAGGCGGTCCATGAGTTGAGACATGATGGTTCGCACATCAACGCTGGGCTGCAGCTCGAGGCACGCCTCCAGGGAGGAGTGGACTCCACAGCATAAGGCCACTGCGCACACACATCACATCGCAAGGCTGCCTGTGCCACTCACATCAGGGTTCTTATCCATGAAGGTCGAAAGGCGGTCCATCAACTGAGACATGATGGTCCGCACGTCAACACTCGGCTGTAGCTCAGGGCACGCCCCCAGGAGCGTCTCGAGGGTGTTGAGATGGAAGTCGTCTGGGAAAACCTGGATGAGGCAGTCCATCAAATATTGCTGGGCTATCTCGTCCCTGCAGTTCACGATCTGGAAGGGAGGTCCGATGAGGAAGGGAACGAGAGAGGAAGGGAACGAGAGAGGAGGGGAGGGAGGATGAATGCAGTGCACGCACTCAGGGCACGCCCCCAGGAGCGTCTCAAGGGTGTTGAGATGGAAGTCGTCTGGGAACACCTGGATGAGGCAGTCCATTAGGTACTGCTGGCTATCTCGTCCCTGCTGTTCACGATCTGAGGGATGTGATAAGAGAGGGAGGGGAGGGGCGGGGACAGAGACAGAGACAGAGACAGAGACAGAGACAGAGACAGAGACAGAGACAGAGACAGAGACAGAGACAGAGACAGAGACAGAGACAGAGACAGAGACAGAGACAGAGACAGAGACAGAGACAGAGACAGAGACAGAGACAGAGACAGAGACAGAGACAGAGACAGAGACAGAGACAGAGACAGAGACAGAGACAGAGACAGAGACAGAGACAGAGACAGAGACAGAGACAGAGACAGAGACAGAGACAGAGACAGAGACAGAGACAGAGACAGAGACAGAGACAGAGACAGAGACAGAGACAGAGACAGAGACAGAGACAGAGACAGAGACAGAGACAGAGACAGAGACAGAGACAGAGACAGAGACAGAGACAGAGACAGAGACAGAGACAGAGACAGAGACAGAGACAGAGACAGAGACAGAGACAGAGACAGAGACAGAGACAGAGACAGAGACAGAGACAGAGACAGAGACAGAGACAGAGACAGAGACAGAGACAGAGACAGAGACAGGGGGATGACACAGTTTATTAGGTACTGCTCTGCTGGGCTATCTTATCCCGGCGGGTTCACGATCCGAAAGAAAATACGGCAATATTCTCACACACGGTCATCATTCATAGTCATTTTACCAACCCTTTTCATTTACCTGCTCTACAGGAGGCAGCACTATTGTATATGTCCAGATTCACTGAATCTACGCTTTTCCGATGGTCAATCAGGAGGCTCACCTGCTCTAGGATGCGCGGCAGCACTACAGTCTTGTACATGTCCAGATTCACCCCCTCCAGCTGACTCAGCAGATGCAGATTCTTGCCCACCTGCAGTGGGCAGACGAGGACGAGAAGGGCGAGTGGAGAAGGAGAGGTTCAGAAGAAGAAGAAGAAGAAGAAAAAAAAGGTACAGTAAATTACACTGGGAATTGGCAGACGCGACTTCTGAGACACCCTAAAACAAAAAATAGGGTGGTAAATTACATATATGGTTTGTAGAAGCAACTTTTGAGGATGCTCAAAAGATACAAAGAACGGTAAGGTAAATCACCTAGGCGGTTGGCATAAGCGATTTGAGAGGCCTCAAGGGCAAAAGAGCAAATCAGGAGAAGGGAAAAGCGAGTGGAGGCGAGGGTGGCAAAAGAAGGATGGGGGAAAAGGAGAGGGAGAGGGAAGAAACGCGAGGGAGATGTGAATTCAGTGTCGACTCAAAAGGAGAGACGTAATGGAATAGTTGGTGGACTCACCAAGTCTCTGAGCTCTCGCCGCTCCTGCTCGCGCTTCTCCCTCTCGGTGGCAGGCCCCTGGTGCTGCATGCGCACCCACAGCTTGTTCATCTCCGTGAAGTTCTGCAGCAGAAACTCCACTGCATCCACCACTGTGCCACCCTCGCTGCAGATACAGGGGGGTTAATGACAGTAGCAACAGAAAGGGGGGAATGCAGAATAGTGCTTAAAGTTCTGCAGTAGGAACTCCACTGCATCCACCACTATGCCTCCCTCGCTGCAGATACAGGGGGGACGTGAAGAGGGAAAGGGAAGGCGGGGGGAGGGGAGGGGTGCTTGAAGTTCTGCAGCAGGAACTCCACCGCATCCACCACTGTGCTGCCCTCGCTGCAGGGTCACAGACACAGGGGTGGTGATGGGAGAAAAAGAATGGGGAAGGAAGGGAGGTGGTGTTTAAGGTTCTGCAGTAGAAACTCGAACTCCACTGCACTGCATCCACCACTGTGCCGCCCTCGCTGCAGATACAGGGGGGTGGCAAAGGAAGAACCGGAAAGCGAAGGAGATTTCCCAACATAAGCCTACAACAACACAGCCCTTGCATTGCATTGCACACACCTCACTTAGCATTCCCAGTGAGCACGGCACGGCACGTCACGGCACGGCACGGCACGGCACACACCAAACCCCATTCATCCCTTGTTGTACCATGTCAGGTTCCGTACATACCCCTTCGTATTTGGAACCTGTGTCAGGAAACTTGTCTCTGGAGCACTGAGTGAGGCGCACTCTCAGGAAGAGCCCTCGAATGAGGTGCTGCTCGCCCTGGCACACCTCAATTCCCACTTCAAGTCACATTCACCCCTTGTTGCAAACGTACCCTTCATACTCCGACCCAGTATCGGGCAATTTATCTCGGCTGCACTGGGTGAGATGCGCCCTCAGGAACAGCCCGCGGATGGGGTGCTGCACGCCCTTGCACACCTCGCTCAGGTCGCTGAGTACCTCCTTAGCCGGCCCCTCCTTGCTGCGAATGTACACTGCCCCTACCGTGCACAGGAGATACCTGGGCCAGCGGAGGGAAGAATTGGGGGAAAGTGGGGGGGGTCGGGGAGGAGGAAAGAAGAGTTCCAAAACATCTCGAAACTCACAATGCGCATGTAAACTCTTCCCACCAAGGCTTCCTTGACTCTCGAATGAATTCCGTTCCATTCATTGACTGTGGAGTCCGACGTTAAAAAAAAAAAAAAAAAAAAAAAGACACACACACACAAACAAACAAACAAACAAACAAAATAACAAAAGAACTCACAGCCTTGGCACGATGTTGCCGGCGTGCTGCACGAGCTCATAGAGGTCCACACAGCTGCGGCCGCGCATCTTGTGCTCGTCCCAGAAGAAGGCCTCCAGGTTCTGCAGCTCGCCACACACCACTATGTCTGCCATGCCATGCACGCAGGGTTGGGGAACAGTGCGGATGCGGTGGACTTTGAGGCGCCTTAGAATGGGCAGTTTGAGCGTGCTCGTCCCACTCATCCCAGAAGAACGCCTCTAGGTTCTGCAGCTCGCCACACACCACTATGTCTGCCACGTAAAAAAGCGGGCATGGGCGCATGGACGCATGGTGGAGTGGAGTCATTGCTGAGAGTTGTCAAAAAAGGGAAGCATCGCACACACGTTTGCTAGGCATGGTCAAGGCGTGGTGGGAACGAATGTGGAAACGAAATGATTGACTCGGTACTAAAGAAGTCGGGACCAATAAACACTGCGGTTTTATAGAAATCAGTACTGAAGGAACCAGCACTGCACACGCAGTACGTACAGAGCTCGTAGTATTTCTGTGGTGCGAGCTTGGAGGTGCGGAGCTCAGAAAGCATTTGCGCTGAGTACTTGAGGGCCTCTCGTAGGTTGCCCGAGTCCTGAGAGTCAGCGAAGGCAGGCAGAGGAGGTGGCTGTTAGTCATTAGAGGGCAAGATAGAGGATAGAAGAGCATCTGTGCGGAGTACTTGAGGGCCTCTCGTAAATTACCCGAGTCCTGAGAATCAGTGAAGCAAGTGAAGGAAGGCAGGGGGAGGTGGTTGATGGTGTTAGGATAGGAAGGGGAAAAGGAGCATCTGTGCGGAAACATGAGAGGGGCTCGCTTTAATTGCCCGAGTCTGCTTGACAGCGTTGAGTGAGTCCGCCAGCCATCTCTGACATTACTATTTTAATTCAAAGATTGACTTGTGGTACGGGGTTCAAGAGTGGACTCACGAGTGCTCGGCGCATGTAGAAGGCCTGCTGCTTGACAACGTTGAGAGCATCCGCCAGCCATGAAGGATTGACATGACTCACTTGAGAGTTTGACTTGTGGTGAATCGCTCAACAGTGAACAGTTGACTCACGAGAGCTCGGCGCATGTAGAAGGCCTGCTGCTTGACCACGTTGAGTGCATCCGCCAGCCATTTCTCCTGCTCCTCTGCTGCACTCAGCTTCACCTCCACCACCTGAGAGACACACGGGGACAAAAAAAAAAAAAGAGATTGTACGGAAACGGAATAGATTGTAGAGTAGAGCGCCCGCTGTTATAGCTGACGACATTGAGAGTTTGGACTTTGTAGTATCGGCCAGCCATTCCCCCTGCTCCTCCGCTGCGCTCAGCTTCACATCCATCCACCTGAGAGGCCCACGGAGACGGAATGACGTGTAACGGAGGCACAAGAGCGAGCGCAGAAACGACGCCGATTCAAAAGGTGCACGAAAGAGTCGAGCATGAGAAGATGCCGAACCAACGACCGACGGATGGCTTTTGAGGCGCCTCAAAATCCGCGTGTAGTGAGGTGCATTTTGAGGCGCCTCAAAATGCACCTCAAGAGGCACAATAGCGAACGCAGAAACGACGCCGATTCAAAAGGTGCACGAAAGAGTCGAGCATGAGAAGATGCCGAACCAACGACCGACGGATGGCGCGAATGGCGAGACTGAACAGCAACAAATGAAAGCTGTTGTGAGTGAGCGAAGGCACGCCGTTTCTCTCTGACTTGATGCTTGATTCAATCACAAGAATCGGGGCTCTCAGGGGGACTCGATTCACAGGTAGTAGTTACTAGTTTTGAGACCAGATGTCGCACGACAGCTACTGCGAGTTCTGAGACGACTCAGAACGAGTCGCACGGCGATCAAATGACCAGATAACACTAATCGACGGTTTGCTGGCCTAGCCAATCCCACTGACGTCCAATCGCACCTTGTTCACCATGAGCGCGACTCGGGTTACGCGGGAGCTAGGTCGATTGGTCAACAGCCAAACTGACGGAAACGCGGCGGTTAGACGTAAGGACTAAAAATAGACCGCGAGAAACTGATAACGAATCGGCGAAGGAAAGGCGACTCGGGAACGAGGTGTGATAGAAGAAAACCAACTACTATACCACTCCAGCCCCCTAAAAATCGACGCTCGTTTTCTATGTTAGCGACTCGGTATCTGGATCAAGCAGCGTAAAATGCTAGGATCCAGTCGCAAGTGAGAGGCTAACACTGACAGAGGTTCATACCCAGCCAAGACAGGAAATGGCGGTGAAGTGCTGGGAGTCTGGGCCGGAGTTACCGAGGCTAAACCAGTTCTGAGCCCGTTTCCTCAAAGCGTGATGTCAATTCGGGTACAGCTCAAACTGGCACCAATCTGGAAAACTGGCACAAATTTGGCAGCCAAAAATACGACACTGACTGGTTGGAGTTGATACCAAAATGATCCGAAGAATGTCGAGATGGTCTGTGTGTCGCGTTTATAACGAACTGGAACTGCAATTGTGCTCAGAGAGTAATGTCGATTACGCCCGACTTCCAGCATCAGTGGAGTTCCAGCATCTGCATCCTTTCCCTCTTCTTCTTACTCGCACGAGGAGGTTAAAACGCGTACATCCCGTGATTTGAAGTTGTGTCAGCGCTTGGCGCCAAAACTTCAACGCGCTGCGACTGAGGCCGGATCATGGCCGCTGCACGGGTAAGGCGGCTTTCCTTTCATAGCCACTCCCGTTCGTTGTCTCCCGTCGTCTCCAGAACGATACTTCATAGCCTCGCGTGGCTCTTCACATAACAATGGTTCGCCACTTTTTGCGGACTTTATGAAACCCTAATCCTGGCAATTCTTCCCTTTCGGGGTTTTTTCCTCAAATTACCACTCGGTTTCCGAATCCTGCTTCTGAGACATTCGCGCTTTGACCGATCTTGATAGGGCACTGCTGTCAGCGTTCCAGAACCTTTCATGCCGTATTATGAGTAAATCAATCCTTTCTCATCGCCATGCACGATTATCATCCCACTTTAGCACCCCCCACCACGTGGATTCATCACCCCCGTAGTCCGTGAGGAGGGTTATCTTGAACAATCTCTTAGTTTTATTCTTTATCCCCGTTACCCCCCTCCCCATCCACCCTCTCCTCAATTCCCAAACCCCCGGAACCCCCTCCCCTCCCCCTCCCCCCCCCCCCCCTCCCCGTTCCCCCCTCACCACTCCACTCACTTCCAACCACCCGCTCCCGCCATTTCCCCATCCCCAGCGCGCGTTCGCCGGTCTGAAGCCAGAAAAGGTATCTGGGTGGCGAGTATTCGACGCTAAGGACCAGGTATGCTGTCACGGCTTGGGTACGCTAATGATATGCGCATAGGGCCAAGTCATCCCTGTATGAAGCTTGGTTGCCTTGCCGCCAGCCTTGCAGTGGTGCTTTTAGGAAAGGACAAGCCCATCTATGCTCCTTGCTGCGTGCATGCGTCCATACTCCACCTATTCCCATTCACTCCCTGCCTTCCCACCTCTCGGATGTCTACCTCTCCTCCTCCCTGCTCCTCCCTGCCTCCCTGCCATGCAGGTGCTTGGTCGCCTGGCCTCACGGCTGTCAGTGGTGCTGCAGGGGAAGGACAAGCCCATCTACTCGCCCAGCATTGACAAGGGCGACGTGTGCATTGTAGTGAACGCAGGTTGGTAACCCTCAGTTAATAATATCAAGGGGCTAGTTACCCCTTATGCAGGGGAAGGACAAGCCCCTCTATTCGCCCAGCATTGACAAGGGCGACGTGTGCATTGTAGTGAACGCAGGTTGGTAACCCTCAGTTAATAATATCAAGGGGCTAGTTACCCCTTATGCAGGGGAAGGACAAGCCCCTCTATTCGCCCAGCATTGACAAGGGCGACGTGTGCATTGTAGTGAACGCAGGTTGGTAACCCTCAGTTAATAATATCAAGGGGCTAGTTACCCCTTATGCAGGGGAAGGACAAGCCCATCTACTCGCCCAGCATTGACAAGGGCGACGTCTGCATTGTGGTCAATGCAGGTTAGTAACCCTTTTGTAGCCTATGCTTAGAGGTTATTACTCCCTTACGCAAACATATACATGCAGCTTTGCCATGGCCAACTGTCACAAGTGAGATGTGTACGCACTGTCACGAGTTTGTCTACTTTTGAGTTGACTCATACGTTATGTCTGGTTGTTGGGTTGCATGTGATGGTCGTCCATGCATGAATCCATGTGTGAATGTATGTAATTATGTATGGGTCCATGCATGTATTCATGTGTGTGTGATGCATGTATCCATGTCTTGTGCGCCTATAAATTCCTGTGTGCATGTGTACCTGATTCTGTACAGATAAGATTGCAGTGACGGGTGACAAGATACGGCAGAAGACATACAGATGGCACACAGGGTGAGTGGGCGGCACACAGGGCAGCGTACAAGGTGAGTTGGGCGGCACACAGGGTGAGTTGGGCGGCACACAGGGTGAGTTGGGCGGCACACAGGGTGAGACGGATGGAGCACATAAGGTATTGGCGTTTGGATGGATCCATGCAAGTTCATCGGTCAGGTTCGGACTCAGAGCGCGCAACTCTCAACGACCAAATGCCATTTCTCAAGGACCCTGAGTGCCATTTCTATGTACGTCACATCCACCCACTCATGCACCGACTGACGCATCTCGTGAGCACGTATGCATCTTTGCATGCCCCTGCATGCATGCATGCATGCATTCATGCAGGATCACAGGTACATCAAATGGCAAAGGATGGTTGGTTACACGCATGTGCACGTCTCCATCATTCTCCCTTCCATACACAAACGCATACGCGTACATTGGAGGGCTGAAGGAGCGAACGCTCAAGGACCAAATGGCAATGCTCTGCATGACACATGCATGATGTATCCACCCCCCTTGCCTGTGTGTATGCACGTCCGTCCCCAGGTACATCGGAGGTCTAAAGGAGCGAACCCTCAAGGATCAGATGGCAAAGGATCCCAAGGAGGTCATTCGCAAAGCAGTGCTGCGCATGCTGCCCCGCAACCGACTCGTGGATGTGAGTGGCCTTTTTTTTTCCAACTCAAAAAACAGATTTTGCACTCGCTTCCCTGCAATTGACTCATGGATGTGAGTTGCTGCATATGGGAATTTTTTGGGTGGCAGGTTGACAGGTTGATGGGAGTTTCCTTATTTTCAGGGTCACAGTAAGTTGCCTCACCCGTTCGAGAACACACTTGTAATGGAGGAGGCAGGGCCTTCACATTCTCTCTTTCTCCCCCCGTCCTGTCCCCCCAGCCACGAATGACGAAGCTGAGGATATTCGAGGGGGGCAGTCACCCATTCGAGGACATTCCTGCGAGGGAGGAGGCGAAGCCTGCCCAGCTCCCTCACCTGCTCCCACCTCCCAGAACCGTACTCTACCCCCAACCATCACTCTTCCTTCTGCATGCCCCCCCTTCCCCCCAGCCGCGCATGACGAAGCTGAGAATATTTGAGGGGGACAGCCACCCATTCGGGGACATGCCTGTGAGGGAAGAGACAATGCCGCTAAGAAATGTGAGGGAGATGCGACCCAGGGAGAGGCGCGCTGCTGATAAAGCCGCTCGTGCTGCTGCTGCCAAGGGCCTAGGTTCAACTGAGCAAGCAGGAGCAGCAGGGGAAGCGTAGGCTGTTGAGTCAGACTCGTGGGTATGGCTTTAGGGAATGTGAGAGAGATGTGGCTCAGGGAGAGGCGCGCTGCTGATAAAGCTGGCCGCGCTGCTGCTGCCAAAGGGGCAAAGTTCGGTTGAGCAAGAAGCAGTGGTGGGGTACCTAAGTGCAGGCTTACTGTTCTCTTCAATGAGACATGTTTGAACTTTTAGGTAGAGCTTTGTGTCACAACATGTTTCGCTATAATACAGTACAGTACCACTGAAAGAGAAAGCAGTGCCTTGAGGGAGGCCACTCGCTAATAGAAATGGCTGCTTGCTAGTGACATAGTAGAATGGTTTGTTGTACACCTCTACCCCCTTGAAAGTGAACATTTGTGGTTTCATACGGTACCTGATAGCATAGCAGCACAGCACGTACCGTATGTGAAGTGCCATAAGAAGCCAAGTGCATATACCGGTACCGTACCTTAGCACCAGCTCTATAGGGATGTGGTGTAGCATCCAGGGGTTCCTGGTGGGAGCCAGCCAGTATGAGTGCATGGGTTTCACAAATATGCACCAATATGCACTCAAGCTGGGACTAACTTTGACTTGTTTCAATCCTAGTGTGTGCTCTTACATTTGAAATATGACTACAGTAGTGTTCTCCAACTATCCCAATGCTTGCTACCCACAGGCTAGTTGTACTCAATATAAAATGAGGCTACCAATGCTGCCGGTATGCACAACAACACTCAAGTGAAATACACAGCTAATTGTCCTGACCCAAACCAGTAGTTTCCTCCATAATCCCAAGTCTCGGGCGTGCTTTCCCCCCAATTCACCACTCTGAACGGACCCTTCAGGAAATACACCCGAAAATACGAGTCACCCCAGGAGTGTGCCACCTGGACCGTGGCGGAAAATGGTTCACCGTCGTACACGGAGTGCTCGGACTTGATCACCATCACATTGTAACCCTCGTTCACGAAAATAATCACCAGAATTTTCGCAACCTCAGAGTCCTCCCAGCCTTCGACCACGCCCAGGTTCCCTGAAGCCACTGTATCCACCGTCACCCCCTCCCAGCTCATCACCTCCTGCTCCACCCTGCGCGGAGTTCCCAAGGCAGATCCGGCGGTGACGGCGGTTGCTGCGGTGGAGGATGACGTCTGCACCATGGGCCGTGCTGCGCTGGCGCTGGTGACGGCGAGGAGCACGAGGAGGGAGAGAGGCAGGAGCAGCTTGCGCGCTGCGCGCGGCCACGAGTTACTCGCCATCGTCGAGATGCCTTGGGATCGTCGCAGTAAATGCCGTACGGATGAGAGCAGGCCCGTTAATAGTGCTAAGGAAAAAGCCGTTAAATGGAAAGCCGGTTGAATTTACAATGATGGAAAAAGCAGTTGTTGAAGAGCTGATGGAAAACGAAATCTTTAACATCTGATTTATGGATCTCCGTTTTCAAGCCTAAATCTGACAGCAGCTCACTATCTGCTCGTGCCGCCATAGCCAGAGGGATGTGTTTCGGATTCAGCCGCGAAGCACGCGTGAAGGTTGTCACTTCCATGGCAGGTGTGAACTGGAAGCTCGAGCGTAGAAGGCACGCGAGCGTAGAAGGCAACGCTAGGTCACGGGAAATAAAACTGGTACGGACTGACTTCAACAATTGGCAAAGGAGGAGGAGGCGAGTGGAAAGCAGTCGGGAGGGACCGCAGCGCTGCTGGCGACTTTGACGATCTTCGTGAACTCGTGTAACACACGTAGCTGTACAGCTCGAAGGGTGGTCGCAGCCGCTGCGATTCGCAAAAGGTACCGAACACAATGGTTTGGCGAGAGCCCTGGGATAAGGGCGTGGAACACCTCGAGTTTTTCAAAACGAACGGTACGGTTCGGATGGGTACCGCTCGGATGAGTACCGGTCTGAAACACACTAAAACTTACTTCAGCGTACCGTTTACAAAATTTACCATTTTCAAATTGTGTGGCCTAAAATCTATCTTAACAGCCTCTGATTGGCTAACTCATCCTCCACTCGCTTCCTCCTAATGGCGTCTGCTCGGAGTGTAGCCGAATTCACGATGTATGAGTAAGTTTTTTAGACGTCTCAAAAACGCTTTTTCCAATGGCGTGCGAGGACCAGAAGTGGAGCCGAAATCGTGACGACAGTTACCACTCGACCCAGCTTGCGAGATCGAGCCGTAATCGCACGCGTGGCGCAGAGCGACCAGCCTCTCATGCGACCGAGCGACCAGCCTCTCATGCGACCGAGCGACCAGCCTCTGGTGCGACCGAGCGACCAACCTATCATGCGACCGAGCGACCAACCTATCATGCGACTGCAGCAGACAGTTCCAGGTTCGCGTTTGCGACGAATGAAACAGGAACCTTACCGAACTGGAGCGAGCGCGAGCGCGAGAGGGAGGGTCAACTATACGCGTCTGTTACTGCTTCTCTTCCACCGGTTAGGTTGAATGCGGAGCAGTCGGGTGGACTGGTGCGCCGGGGAGTGGAAGGCGTAGAAGACGGAGCGGCTCGTGCTGCGTCAGCTGGGCTGAACGAGAAATGGCTCATGGCAGCGCTGATGGCGGAGGGATTGAATGCGGTTCAGTCAGGTGCAATAGAGCAAGTGCAAGAAGGTGGAGAGGGATTGAGTGCGGTGCAGTCAGGTGGAACCGAGCGATGGCTTATGGCTGCAGTGATGGCGGAGGGATTGGCTGCTCCGATTGGTTCCTTGGGTTGCGAATCTGGACTGCCGGTTCTAGGTGGTCAACACGGTCAACACGGTCGACGCAATCCAGATTTGAGGAGTCAATGCAATCAACGCAGTCCAGTGTTGGAGAGTCAACGCGGTCAACACAGTCCAGCATTGGAAGGTCAACATGGTCAACGCAGTCCAAGTAGTCACGTCGTGGCCATGGGCCTGGGCCAGACTCACGTTCCCCCTCCCACACACGCTGCCCCATCTCCCTTGCACGCTCGTTCCCACACTCTCCCTCACCCTCTCACTCCTCCATCCACCCCTTCTTGTCTTTCCACAACCACAGCAATCCATGCAAAGCCTAGTTCCAGTCAGCCTTTTGAGGCTCTTAAGTTCACAAACCCTAATTCCACTCAACCCATTTTCAGAAATCCCTCCAACTCCACGAACCGTCCATTTAACCATCCGTCCATCCATTCATCTAACCATCCATCCAACCCTCCATCCAACCGTCCATTCAACCCTTCATCCAACCCTCCATCCAACCAGCCTTTGAAAGAACCCCTTTCGCACGCTCCCCCTGATCACCGTATATCCCTCAGCCCGTTACATCCTCGTGACAGTAAAGAAGGTGGCAGGCTTGGTGATGACAGGCTCGGGATGGACAGGCTCGGCACGGACAGGCTTGGCATGGAAAGGCTTGGCAGGGGCAGGCTCGGCCAGGAGAGGCAGCACAATGAGAGTGAGGAGCCGAGGCTCGAGGGTAACCCATCAGCCCATTGTGGCTCTACTTCCTCTTGTGTGTCGGCTGCTATTGGTGCACAGCGGTATGATGTCCCCATGACTGCTGCACGCCCACGTGATATTCCCATGGGTACACACCCACGTGGTACCCCCATGGGTACACACCCACGTGGTCGTGGTTCCCCCATGGCCATGGGTGCAGCTGCACATGTAAGGGGTGGGCATGGTAATAGTGATGAAACCAGAGGTGATACAACCGAGTGTGGGAGAGAAACGAGGGAGACTTGAAGGCTTGTGATACAAGAGGGGCCCGCGGTGATGCTGAGGAGGATGTGACTGCAGACCAAGTGCCTCTGCCCAACCATCCAGGTGAGATAGCTTGCCATTTTCGTTATAAGCACATGCCAGTCTCGGTCTATTCTCCTGTGGTTTCACTTGAAGCAGACACGGACTCAGGGCCAATGTATCTGTAAAATCAGTCTTGGCAATAGTAAGCTTGCTGCTCGGTCATTGCAGGGAGTTTTTGAGAATTCTCAAAGGCTGCAAAGTGAGCTTGCAAATTCTTGGCAATAGTGAGCTTGCAAATTCTTGGCAATAGTGAGATTGCTGCTTGGTCGTTCTCCCCCAGGCTGGCTCACGCCCAAGAGGCACAAGACTCTCAAGGAGGAGTTGCTTAAGCTCAAGCAGCCGATGGAGGCGAGAGTATGAGGTGGGGAGGGCGCCTCCGTGCCTCCATGCCTCCAGTCTGTGTTATTTGCTGCTACGTGCTGTTCTTTCTCCCCCTCTCAGGCTGGCTCACCACGAAGAGGCGCAAGAGCTGCAAGGAGGAGCTGATGGAGCTAGAACTGGCAATGGAGCGAGAGAGTATGAGGCGGGGAAGGATGTTGCTTACTTGACTCCATGCTTCCCTCCATGCCATGTCTTTGTGCCTTTCTGGATGTCATTCTTTCAGGCTGGCTCACCACCAAGAGGCGCAAGACCCTCAAGGAGGGAGTTGATAGAGGTTGAGCTGGCAATGGAGCGAGAGTATGAGGCGGGGAAGAGGCAGCAAAAGGGAGCGGGGGAGAGAGGGAAGAGGGCAACGCACACAATAAGATGAAGAGGGAAAGAAACTGGAGTCAGGGAGTGAAGGAAGGGAGGGCAAGTGTGGAAGTACAAGAAAGGGGAGAGAGAGGAGGGATGAGGGGACGGAGGGGCAGGGGTTGAGGGGGAGGTGATAGATGAAGAGGAGGAGGTGGAGGAGAGGGAGTGGAGGGAGAGGGGAGAGAGGGGAGAGTTGCGGCAGTCTGGTGGTGATACTGTGGGGGACATGGAGAGGGAGATGGAGAGGGAAAGGGAGAGGGAGAGAAGGGAGAGAGAGAGGGAGAGGGAGACAGAACGAGAGCGTTGAGCAGGAGAGGGAATGGGCAAGGGAGGGTGGAGAGGGAGAGGCAAAGGGAATGGCAAACCCATGGCGGCAGCAACCAGGAGCAGGAGGAACAGGAGGAGCAGCAGAGGCTGCAGCGTCGGCGGCACTTGCGGCGGGGAGGGAGAGCTGAGGCGTTTGGGCTTGAAGAGGACGATTTCATTGACCAGGTGTGTTGTCAGGTTGGGATAAGTTCTGAGAGTTCTCAAAAGAAATCACGGCAGGGGATGGGGAGTTGAGGCGTTTGGGCTTGACCAAGGTGCTGTTGAATTGCTGCACCCTTCCTAACCCCATCAGTTCGTATTTTCATCCACTGCTGCGTCACTTCTCCCTCATACCCTCCTTTCCCCCACACCCCCCCCTCCCCTCCCCTTCCCCTGTGCTCCCCCACCCAAACTCCCAACACCCCCTCCCCCCCTTCCCCTGTGCTCCCCCTCTCTGCCCTCGCTCCCTCTCTCCCTCTCTCTCCCTCTCCCGTTCCACCTCCTCCATTCCTTGTTACCGTACCCTCCTTCCTATGTGCAACTTTTCGAAAGCATGCTCCTCTTAACACATTGCGCTTATCACTTTTTTTTCTTGTGGACAGATGGTCCCAGAGGATTGATCACCTGACAATGGTCACACGATTAGAAGAACAATAAGTACCGGTAATGAATCGGGGTCATCTGGTTGTCCTAGATGCGAATGAAAATCTGTTTTGCCTGCTGCTGCGTTTCGGTGACTTGAAATTCGATTATTTTTTTAATGTGGTGGTGCTTGTTCAACACATCTCAAAGACAAGTGTGGTGAATTGTAGAGAAAGTAGATTTCACAAAGTACTTTTATCTCGCTGCAGTAAGCCAGTCTCAACAGTTTGAAGCAACCGTACGCGTTAACGAGGCAACTACTACCCTTCCAAAACCTTGAGGCTGCCGTAGTTTTGAAGCAACACCACACCACTCAAGCTAATCATTAGTACGTTGGTGGTAAGGCCGACCACGCGCGTCGCGATAGCACGTGCAAGCACACTTGAAGGCTGGCAGCTAATGAAAGCTTAATTGCGGATATCCGATCGCCGTTACGCACGCCGTCCCAGTTTTCGGTCTCCTGACGGAGTTCGTTAAACGCTAAGAGAGCTGTCGTTAGTTCGCTTCTTTCCCCACGCGATCGTTATCGCAGTTCCATCGTCGCGCGACTGCTCAACCATCGCGAGGCTGCTAAGCCGTCGCAGTGCTTTATAGAAAACGTCGCGAGGCTCTTAACCGCAGCTGCCGCATCGATCGCAACCTTAGTTTCAGTCGCTTCGAAAAGGGATCGAAGCTACAGCAGCCGCAGCTGTTTCGTAGAAAAACCCTTCAGACTGCATCCGCCTGGCGCGAGGTTGCCTGGGTGACTTCTGGGTCGACTCGGTTCGCTGTACCCGCACTGCATTTCCCGGCCGCGAGAGCTAGATCGCGAGAGTGTGACTAGAGTGTGACGAGAGTGTTACGAGAGTGTGACGCCGTAAAAGAACACGTGGCGAGGGTGACGTGGCGAGCACGAGGTCGCGATGGTGTGGTGCAGCTACTGCGGGCGCGACCAGCAGGCGGAGGTCGACGAGGCCAATGGCTTCTCGTACGTTCCTTCATTCTTGCGCTCTCCACTCTGCCCATTTGCGTGTATCTCTCCTCGCCTTTCTGCCAGTCTCTGTTGAATGTTGAGTCGACTTAAAGCGCGACCAGCAGGCGGAGGTCGACGAGGCCAATGGCTTCTCGTACGTTCCTTCCTTCCTGCGCATCTATTGAGGCGCTTCAAGGTTCAAACAATCTGATCCTTCTTCCTGCGAATTTTTAGTTTGTTGGTTCACAATTCGCGTCCACGCGCTCCCACCTTAACCAACCCACGGCTCATGTGCTCCCTTCTCCGCCTGCTTGTGTGCCCGCCCTTCTGTCGGACTTGCTGCCTGTCTTTCTCCCCACTACCACAGCTGCTGCACGGGGTGTGGGCGAGTGCTGGACGATACCGTCTACTCGTCCGACACAGTCTTCATGAAACAATCCGATGGCTCTGTAAGCTGAGCGAGAAACGCAATAACGAGTACAGGTCATGATTATGAGACGGAATGATTCAGTGTCTCGCGCCTTCTCCCTGGTCTTTCATTCCCCAACCCACCAATCTGCTTTTAAAGCAATCTTCCTCACTTATTCATCTATTGCCCTGTGTTTTTCGCCCCTTCTATTTCCCTCTGTTTCAGAGCATGGCCATGGGAAGCTTCGTGGCAGATGCAGGAGGAGGCGGGCCGGTGGTGCGACTGGGAGGAGCCAGGGGGTTCGCCTTTGGGGGCTCGTCAGAGTCACATGAGCGCACAGTCATGAGAGGTGGGTGTGATGCAAACGGATGTTGTTTCAACCTCCCACTCCTCTTCCTTCACCCTTCACTCACCTCCTCCACTGCTATCCCATTCCTCTCTACCCCTTGCTGCTGCCACTTGCTTGAGCAGAACAGAGCTTACCCCCAACCCAATCCCCTGACTCCCCAACCAATCACGTTCTCTCTAACCCCCCTTGCAGGGCGCAATGAGATTGCAGAGATAGCAGAGCGGCTGGCCGTGCGACCTCGAGAAGACATGATAGGGTCGGCGCACCGGCTGTACCAGGTACTGAACCCGAAATTATTGTAAACCCTCGTAAGCCCTCATAAACCCTCATTAGCCTCATAAGCTCTCGTAAATCATTAGCCTCATAAGCTCTCGTAAACTCTCATTAGCCTCGTAAGCTCTCGTAAACCCTCATTAGCCCTCATAAACCCTCTGAAACATTGAGCCCTGAAACAGCTTGTGCAGAAAATCAGCAGGCATGGGAGCATGCATGTCCAGTGCACCACACCACCACACATGCCACACACACATATATATGCACGCGCGCTCCAATGCACATGTCCACATGCATACACTTAGACGTCCTCCCCATTCCCCGTCTACTTCTGCTCCGCTTTTCCTAATCCTTAACCCCCCTTTGACTGCCCCCAGCTGGCTCTGAATCGCAACTTCACAAGAGGAAGGCGAGTAGCGCAGGTGGCAGCGGCGTGCCTCTACCTTGCGTGCAGGTGAGCTCGCGTGCCTGAACAGGTGCCTGAACAAGGTGAAATATATATTTCTTGGTTTGACTGGTGCAGGTGGCAGCTGCATGCCTCTACCTTGCCAGCCGGTGGGCTTGCATCTGATGCTGCTGCAGTTTTTTCTTGAGTTGATTCGAGTCTGGGTTTATTCTCCTCGATGGCGATCACTTTGAGATTCCTAATTGTTACCCTGTTTTAGGCGCCTGCAGTGATCTATTGACGCTCCTCAAGAATCACCTTTTGAGATGCCTCAGTTCCGTTGTATCATGTCATGCAACAAGTTAACGTCAAAGCCCAAATCTCTTGCCACATTTTCATCGACTACAATTCTCGAGTCGATCCACACATTTCTAGTCTACTAAATAATTGTCTTGTTCTGTGCTATGCCACTTATCCACTTATACTCGCTGGCAGGCAGGAGAAGAAGCCCTTTCTGCTGATCGACTTTGCTGACTTGCTGCAGATCAACGTGTAAGTGTGCCTCTCTCTCCACCCTCTCATCACCACCTCTCACCACCCTCTCACCACCTTCTCATATCCTAGTTTTTAGACCAGTGCGTCTCAAGCCTCTTCACGTCACCCCCTGAACGACCCCTAATGTTTTCCCTCCCCTCTCTCTCATTTCACTCTCTCAGGTATGTACTAGGGGCGGTGTATCTGCAGCTGCTGCTGGTGCTGCGACTGGAGAACCACGAGCCGCTACAGGCACCACTGGACCCCTCTCTCTTCATCCACCGATTCGCCGACCGTAAGCGTTTCTCTCCTCTTTCGCTGGTTTCACTTCTCCATCTATGTACTGGGGTGGGGCACTGTTGGTGCTGGCGACTGGAGAACCACGAGCCGTTACAAGCACCTTTGGAACCTTCCCTCTTCATCCACCAATTCGCCGACCGTAAGTGTGCTCCTGAGTCGCACCAAGAGTCATCCCGCTACCCGCACCACTGATTCAATCCCTCTTCATCCACCAATCCGCCGACCTTAAGTGTGCGTCTGAGTTGACTCAAAAGCAGGAAACCCCTGCGGACAGGCACCACTGGACCCTTCCCTCTTCATCCACCGGTTCACTGACCGTAAGTGTGGTCTGTTTAGCGTAGCGGCAATTCCTGTACCACTAATCACGCACCCTCATCCGATGACTGGTACCAGTCAGCACCCTCACACAAGCATCTGGTATTTGCACTCCACATTAGCACCGCCAACCTCATGACACTGTATGCAGAGATATTGGAATGTCGTGTTTCTTATGCTTCCAGTGGTATTGTACTGCCCCAATGATCTTATGTAAGTTTATTGATGCAGTCAGTTTTGTTTTCTAATGTGGTGCCCCAGCAGTCTGGGGTTCGATTCCCGCTGAGGTCTAATTTGCACTCTACCAGATGTCACCAACTCCCAGTATGGGAGTGTGCATTTTGTATGGTCCGCAATGGTCTGATCCAAGTGATCCTCTTCCTGTTCTACAATCAACATTTTTCAGTTTGTTGTATTGGTGCGGTGTGGCATGGCATGGGCATGGGTATTGCTGGCATGGGTATGAGCATGGGGTATTGCATGTGCATGGGATGCGCACCGGGTATGGGCATTCTTTTGCACAATACCAGGCCTCAACTTTGGGCGCAAGATGCTGCAGTGGCCACACGGCTCTGCGCCTGTTGCCTCCATGAAGCGCGATTGGATCCAG